CTCCTTTGACATGATAGGAAAAGGAATGGAGTAAGGTGAGGTTGTTGACCAGTAGTAAAAGTATTTCTGACCTGAGAATCTCTCTCCTTCAAAGGTGGCAGACAGAAATCCCAGGTCCTCAACACTAGCCTGATGCACTCGGAGTCTGAACTGGACAGCGATGAAGCCATCTTCACATGGCCTGACCATGAGAAAGGGAAACTGCTGCGGAGCCAGAACGGCTCCTTGCGCAATGGACAAGTGATGCTCAAACCCAAGAACCAGAGGGAGGAAATCCTATAGCTCCCCTCAGGCGGCCTTTTGCTGGAGCTCAGTGGGAAAGGCCACTCCCGTCCCTATCCTACAAGGGCCTTTGGAGGCCACTTTGATTAGGACAACGCTGCTAACTCGTTTCACAGAAAATACCTTTGGTTTTGTGGGTTTCTTTTCAGTTAAATCTGGTTGTACTTGAATTTGAACTTCAAGGGAGATCAAAGGGAGAAGGCAACTGTGAGCCCCAGGTGAGGCATCAGGAAAGGACAGAGCTGGTGTCTGGAGAGCGACAGGACAGAACCACTTGGAGCAACTGTGAATGTGCAGGACCTTCCTAGGTCACCTCAGACTGCAGTGGAGGAAACACCCATGGACTTCCAGCTCTCTTTCCTTGGGAGCTCAGAGGAGGAAGGTCAAGGCTGTGCTTTGAGCTGTGCTCTGAGCTCCCTTCATGCTCCAGTAGCTTTCCAGGGGCTACTTGTGCTGTCGAACATTTACTCCCACCTTCCCTAATGGTTTCAGCACTATTTTAATATAGACTTGTCCTTTCACATGCACTTGGCTGCTTTTGGAGTGTAGAGGAGGGGGAAACGCTATGGTCACACTCCTTTTCTTGCAGGTAGGAGAGGGGTTTGTAGCTTGTACTCACTGGGAGTGTTGATGACCTGGTGCCTGTTCAGGTGTGAAAAGCTGACCTGTCTGTGGTAATTGGCTGGGCTAGGAGACCCCCTCCTGCAGCACGCTCTCCTCCTGGGTACCAGAGCCTGGGTACCCACCTTTGGTACCTGTGGTTAATATCTGGCTTAATTCCAAAGCTGTGAGATGTTGTTCAGTGGCGCCAGCAGCTTCTGTTGGTCGCCAGGCCGTCCGTGAGTGTGGACATTAACCATATCTCAGTTCTGAAATGCTATATACCAGGGGGGTTGGGTTTGGGGGGTGGTTCTTAAGATTTGCACAACCCAGGCTAACAGAGGTTGATATCTTCAGTCCCCAGCAGCTGGCTGCTCCCTCTGGCTGGCAGTAGCAGCCTTATGAAGAGCCCTTTGTGCTCCTAACAACGTGCTGGTGTCCTTTAGTTGGTGGAAAAGGGAACTGTGCCCAAGGGCATCCCATGGTGAGTGCCAGCACCAAGGGACCATGTCTCTGCTGCCTGGGCTCTGGGAGGCAGGTGTGTGACCATCCTGGCTCCTTTATTTCACTGTGCTGCTGTGGACTGCAGAAATCAGCCTCTCGCTGGCATGAAGGATGCCACTACTCTGTGGATGGGTGGGCAGTTTATTGCCTTTGTGTTTAAAAACTGGAAACTTGTTTCATTGGCTTTGAGCTATGAAAGCCGAAAGGCTGTAAGTTCCTCAGTTGTATATTGCTGCACTACTGACGTGTTGAGCTAGATTAAACACTCTTGAATGAGGGGGAATGTTCCCTCGTTGAATGTAGTCATGGCTGCTGCTGTTTGTTTGCCTGGGCACTGGGCTGCCTTCCTCAGGCACCAGCACTGGAGCCTGCAGCTCTCCTGAGGACTGAGGCTGTGCAATTGTCTCTCTCTTGCCTGCGTCACAGCCAGGGCCACCCTCAGCCTTGTCTGTGTCACAGCAGCTGCTGCTCCAAGCCAGGCTTCCCCTTCCCAGGCGGCTCCTGCACCCGCTTTCCCTATGGCTCCTTCCCTCTGAGCCCACCTGGGCCCACGCAGGGGATGGCTGAGGCCAGGATGCTCCCCATGGAAAGGGGCACAGCCCAGGGCTGGCTCCGTACAGTGGCTGCTTAACTGTTGGGTGATGCCACCCTCTGATGCGTGTCCCTTCATTTGGGTGTCGGATGAACAAACTACAACAAAATGAGGGTTTGGAAGCTGCAGGGATTGGCCCTGGGCCTGGGAGCGGTTTGTGCTGTTGGAGCTGTTGGGCTCTCACTGATTCTGGTCCTTGGGGCTTGTACTCTTGAGCCTCTTGCTCCTTCCCATCCTGGGGATGTCTCTGTGCAGGCCAGGGCTGGCTGTGCTGGTGATCGCTGCAGGGAGCAGTGCCCTTGCCGGAGTGCAGGGCATGCTTCCCAGTTTCCTGTTACGGAGGAGGGAATTAAAACCTGTTACCACCACCACCACCACCTTTGTTCAGCTGAGCTTTTCTTCCTGCTTGCGCTTCCCTGTGGGTAATAGTTGTTGGGTTGTGGTGCTTTAGCTGGCAGCCCTGCGGGGGAAGGCTGGGGTTTGGGGAGCTGTGCCATTCCCTCTGCACGGAGCGGCTCGGTTAGGGTCAGTGAGGGTGATGGGATGACTTCCTCACTCGGTAGTCATCTGTCATCACCCAGCGCAGGTCTGTGACAGAGCACAGTGCAAGGCTTGGGGCTCCCATTGTGTTCCCTGGTGCTGCAGTGCTTTTCCTCGCTCCACATCTTAACCCTCAGGGCCGAGTACTGCTCGAGGGCTGCAGGAAACAGGGAATACTCCAGCGACTGCACCCTGGCCTGTGGGAGCGTGAGGACCTGGGAAGCTGCTGGAGGCAAGGAGATGTTCCAGGCTGACGTCACCAACTTCTGGTCCAATGTAGGAGCCCCTTGACCCTGAGACTGGAGCAGCCTGTTCAGTGCACCATTAACAGACCTCTCCCAAGGCAGGCCCACATAGGCCTTACCTTGGAAGGAATCCCTTGGCACCCTCTCCCTGTGGCATCGCTGACAGTGCTGCTGGCTCATTACGAGCGCCATGAGCGGGGCTGACCTTGCTGGGGAAGGTTTCTGCATTGCTATGCACGATGATTTCACAATTAGCGACGCTGGCTACAAGTTCCCCACGTGTGGAAGTTAAAAGCTGAGGCGTCAGATGAGCCCCCAGCTTCACTTGGGATTTTCTCTTATTCCAGCGCCGGTTGAGGACACTTGAGGCAAATCCAGTGTAGTTTAGAGTTTGCTCTTAAATCTTTTCCTTGTGCTGGGGGGGCTGCCCAGCCTGAGCTCGGGTTTAGCAGTGGTGTTGGTTGCAGCGTTGCTTGGCTCGAGGCTGAAAGTCATCCTTTATAACCAAGCGTTTCTCGCAGGTAACCGGGGCAGGCGCTGTGCTGCGCTGCGCCTGCAGCTGCGGGACGGCTCCTGGGAGCGCCGGGCTCCGTGTGTGAGAGCTGGGGGCTCCCCCTCGCCCTTGGGGACAAGGCTTTGCCTTTGCTCCGGCTCTGGAGCCCGGTGGCGCTCCGGGACCAGCGCAGCGAGCGGGGCTGCCAAGAGCTCCCCTGACACAGAGCCAAGCGTGCGGCAGCCCCGTGCTGGAGGCACTGCTCGGTGCCGAGGTGCGTGCTGCAGCCCCGGTGCTTGTGTCCTGAGCACCCACGAGGTGCGTGCTGCAGCCCCTCTGTTTGCCTGCCCCTGCTTTAGCACAACCGTAATTAGCTCCTGCTGCTCGAAGTCGCCTTTCAGCCCGAGGGCTCCTGCCCCTGGTGTCCTGCTGAGCGCGTACGGAGCCTCCTGACCCGCTGCGGGCCGTTTCCTGACACCAAGGCAGGGTCCGACCGTGGATTTCACTGGAAACGAAACCAGCAGCAGCAGCAGCAGGGCTCAAGCTGCCCGCACACCTGGGGTAACTGCACCTCATGCAGCAGAGGAGCATTTATTTGCTGTCCTTGAAGGAGACGGAGGTGGCCGCCCAGCTGTCCCTGTGCCTGGCTGCTGTAGCACCACGGCAGCCAGAAGGGACCTGATGGCACCGTGGGACATGGATATTTCAGAGGGAGGAGGAGACTCACCTTGAGAGCCGCCCTTCTGTCCACTGCGCATCTCACGTGGTCCTCGGGTTGTGCTGGAGCCCTTGGAGTTCACGCTGCTCAATGTCACCTGAGGATGTAAGAAGCCAAATCCGCCGGGCTCCCATCCTGCCCCCAGCAGCTGCCTTCAGATTAAGCCACCACAACCCTCCCGGGGCTTCAAACAGCTCCTGCTGGATTGGGGTGGGTGCCGCTTGCACCAGCCCCAGGGCAGCACAGGGAGAGAGGGTTTCTCACTGCCCCAAGGGCAAAGAACTGCTCCTGCCTTCAGCAGCGTCACCTCCCCGAGGTGGGCTCTGGCTCTGGCTCTGGTCTGGAGCCTCAGAGCACCCCCAGGCTGCTCCTCTGGGGCGTTTGGTGGCAGGAGCTTCACAGCTCGAGAAGCTGCGGCCATGGTGCCCGTGGCCGCGGCAGCAGCTCCAGGACGCTGCCCCGGTGTCTGGTGCTCAGCGGCCCAGGGAAGGGGGCACAAGGATGCGGTGGGTTCAGCGCTCTCCTCTCTCCACGCACGTTCTCCCCTTTCTGCTCCCGCTGTCCTTGCTCCTCGTGTGAATTTGGCACCGCTCCCCAGCACCTTCCTGTCATCAGGATCCCCTCAATTGCTGCTGCTTCACCTCCTCCCGCCGGGCTCCCCCCAGCCCCAGCGCTGACGGGAGCTCCCCCACCTCACCTGGGGTGACAACGACTGAGAGCCCTGTGCTGATGGATGTGGGCGCTGCAGGGATGCCGGTGGCTCCTGGGGGCACCGCTGGCACCCAGCACGGCCCCCATGACTGCGGGAGCTGCCCCAGGAGCGGCCGGGGTTTGGCTGGAGGAGTGCCCTGTGCCGCCTCATCCTGCCGAAGCAGGGCCCTGAGGGGTCTCAGGTTGCGATGTGGGCGCTGCGGAGCAGGCCCGCGGCCGCCATCGCCCTCCATCCATCCCTCCAAGGGTCCGTCCATCCGCACAGGGCCCCGTGAGTCCGTCTTTCCATTGTTCAATCTCTTTTCCACACTCGGTGCCAAAGCCTCCCCGCTTGCTCCCGCACGCGCCAGTATATTTAGCTGCCTCTAAGCCTCTACCTTCCCTTATATAGGAGAGGCCAAACGAATTTCGCACTCTCATTATTAATAGCCCGAGAGGAGCTCTGAGGCGGCCAAAAATAGCAGGCAAACAGAGCGCACCCGGCGTGGGGAGGGCGCCGCGGAGCCGCCGGGACCGCCGCGGGAGGGACGCCGCTGCTTGTCCTGGCTTTTCCCTTTGGGAACCACTCTAAGGTGTCTCCCAGCCTCCTGCCCCCGCTGCAGCCCCGAGCCGCTGACCCCCCTCGCCCCGCCGGCTCTCTGCAGGCAGAGGTAGGCTGGGTGGGAGCCTGGGGACAGCGGGGGTACCCCTGGAACCCCGGGCTTTGCTGCTCTGGATGCTAAACCCGCTGCCCCACGGGTGCTGGGGACGCCAGCCCGGGGATGCCCGTCCCTGTGCGGCGGCCCTCGGCTGGGGGAGCCCCTGAGGCTGCAGCAGTGACAGGTTTCACCCTCCCGAGTGCTGGGCCCAGCTCTGCCCATGGCACTGCTCCAGGACCCCCGCCGTGGCGCAGGGGACACGGGCAGGCAGCGGGGGCCGGGTTCTGCGCGCTGGTGACAGCCGGGTCCAGCAGGGAGATGGGTGCTCAGCAGGGAGATGGGTGCTCAGCAGGGAGATGGGTGCTCAGCAGGGCTCACCCGGGCAGCATCCCCGGAGCCGGGCACACCACGAGCCACGCGCTGGGGCACCGAGGCCGGGATGGGGCGTGCGAGGAGCGGTCTGCGGGGTGCCCAGCGAGCGGGGGGTCCTCACCTGCACCCGGAGGCATCCGCATCCCAGGCAGGGGCTGCCTTAAATCCCTCCCTCCTTCCCTCCCTCCCTGGCGAGGAACTTCTCCCGCTGAACTGAGGATGCTGCAAGCTCCTGCGGACGAGCCGGAGCAGTCCTGTGGCAAAGTCAAGGCGAGCGGGGGAGCAGCGCGCTGGAGCCGGGTGTCCCCGCAGCCGCAGCCGGGCGATGTCACCTCCAGCACCGTGAGTGACCGTGCGGGGCGTGCGGGGGGCAGCGGGGACCTCCCCGCCGGCAGCGTTTAACCTTCAGCGAGCCCCGAGCGGGCTGGGGCTGCCGCTGCCGCCCGGCTCCTGCCTGCAGCTCGGGGTGGGCAGGGAGGGGACCGGGGCCGCTGGGGTGAGCGCAGCTCCGGGCCAGCCCCGGAGGAGGAGTGAGGGCAGCAGCGAAGTCTGCGGGGCTGGGGGCACCCCCGGCAGGTCCTGGCAGCGAGTGCTGGGTGCTCGTGTCCGCGGGCAGCGGGGCAGAGCCTGGCCCATCTCCCGTGGGTCATCCCCTGCAGTGGGGCTCGGCCACACAAAGCAGGGGCAGCCCATGCCAGTGGGATGGGGCAGGAAGAGGAGCCCAACTCCCGGGCATCCCAGCATCGTGGGTTGGACACAGGCAAGGAGAAGCCTGAGCACCATGGCCGGGTGCACCAGGGCTCCACGGGCCATGTGCAGCACCGGGCAATGCCTGCAGGCAAAGGGGCACAGCACAGGCAGGGTCCAGGGTGCTCCCCAGGCACCCTCCATCAGTGCTCCCCTTGCACCCACCTCCCTACTCCTCGCTGGGCCTTGCGGTGCTGCTTTGAGCGGCTGCCGCAGTGGGTTCGCTGGGGATGGATGAGCCGGGGGGAGCCGCTCGGGGGGGCAGCGCTGAACAGGGAAACTTGGAAAGGCCCCTGCGAGGCAGCGACCGCAGAGCACGGCGCTGGGGGGAGCAGGGGGAGAAGCTGCTTCCTTTTATAGACAGGTTGGGGCTGTTGGGTGCTGTGCAGGCTCCCGGGTGCCACCACAGCCAGCCCCAGGCAGCACCCCCGGCTCCTCTGCCTGCCCCCTGCAAGAGCAAGGGCCCCTGGTGCCCACCAGCGCCCTGCCCGGAGCCCCTGGGGGTGCAGGAGGGAGCAGGGGCACAGAGGAGCTGCGGGAGAGCCTCTGCTTGGGGCTGTGTCTGCAGCCGATAAGGGCAGCGCTGGGGCTGGGGGCTGCAGAGGGGCTTGTGCTGGTGACAGGGAATGGCTGGGCACGGGGGAGGTGGTGGGGGGCTGTGGGGCAGGGCAGGGGCGGCCCGGGCTGGGGGCGATGGGCACCCTGGATGCAGCAAATGTCCCGTTTGCTGGGTGCAGCCCAAGGTCACCAGGGGAGCCCGGCCGAGGGGTGCTCGGGGCCGTGCGCTGTGGGGACCCCCGTGAGCACTGGTACCTGCAGCTCTGCCATCCTGGGAGGCTGCCCAAGGTCAGCCGGGGCCCATGGAGCTGCTCCCCTCGGACAGGCTCTGCCCCTGCGCCAGGGACTTGGGTCCTGGGAGCTGCATCTCCAGGGGGGGCCCAGTGCCAGGTCCCTGTGTGGGAGGCCCTGGGGTGCTGCAGGAGCATCCCTGCGTCTGGGGCTGTGCTGGCAGCAGCCCTGTGCCCCATGGGGATGTCTGGGGGCTCCGGGGCCCACGGAGCAGCGTCTCTGCTGCCTGTGGGTGCTGTGAGCGTGCACTTGGCACCCACAGGCTTCTTGCAGGGAGCTCCAGCACGTGTGGCCGCAGCTCCCGGCGCTGAGTCACGGCCACGGTGTGTCCCTGCCGGGGTCCTGCTCCCCAGGCTGCGAGGGGACAGGCCTGGGAACCGCCATGGCACCGCTCCAGCCAGGGGCATAGGGGTGGGAAGGGCGCTCGGGACAGGGAGGCCGCAGTGGGATCAGGACTGATGGGGGGCAGAGCATGGCTGGGCTGTGGTGATGCTCGTGCCCTCCATTGCCCTGCCCTGGGCACTGTGCTGGGGCTGGGGAGCCCTCCCGCAGCCCCAATAGGGTCTGAAGCCCCTGAGGTCTCAGCTGAGCCTCCCATGGGCGATGGCACTTCCAGCCTCCCCTGCGCAGAGCTGCAGCATGGGAAGAGGGTGCCGGGTGCCCCCAGTGCTGGCCTCAGAGGCACTGAGATGCACCCACTGCTCTGGTGCATGGGCTGGAGGACAGGGTGGTGTGGGGGGTCCTGGGGGTGCTGCAGGGCACGGGGGGTGCAGCTGGAGCATCCTGACCCAGCACCGCAGCCGCAGTGGGGACCCTGCCAAGATCCAGGGCCGATGGGGTCCCACGTCTGCGGGCTCACAGGACACAGCCCCATCTCAGTAGTGCCCCAGTGCCTGAGACCTGAGCCTCGGACACATCCTGGAGCACCCCAGCACCCGTGAAGGGCAGCCACCGCCCTGCAGTGGGTGCATCGCCAGCCTGAGCATCCTCCGGCCGGTGCGGAAGCCGCATCCCAGGCACGTGCGTTGGCCGCGGCCTTGTCCTGCTCCCCAGACGCGCAGCTCCCCCTGCTCCAGGGGGCAGTGCCACCACCAAGGGGGGATGCCCCCGGGGGCCGGAGATGCTTCACCACAGCCGCCGGCTCCTTCCAGTGTCCCGTCACCCGGAGCCGATGGTGCCCATCAGCCCCATGCTGCCCACCTCTCCCTCCCAACCCTACATACTTCTTCATATGCCCATATGGAGTCGGCCGGCGTTATGGAATGTTAAGAAGTATGTATCTTTGGGCTGGGACCCCCGCACCGGGTCCTTCCCCACCAGCACCGCCAGCACCGGCCTCCGGAGAGACGATGCATCCCTGGGGCTGGTCAAAAGGAACCAGATCAACTTGCAACTGGATTTGGTCCCCTTCAACCAGCTGCAGCGGCGCATGAGCCACGGCACCGCTGCCCCCTTGCTGAACCCGGCCCGCGGGGGGGGGTGACTGCAAGCCCCGCGGCCCCGTCCCATGGTGGGGTCCAGGGGGTGGAGGGGTCCCTGTGGGGGCAGCGCTGGGGTCCGGCCGCTGCGGACGGGGCAAACGCAGCTCCGCTGGCTCCGGTCCCGTCCCCGCCCCGCTCCAGGGCCGGGACCCGGGAGCGGGGCTGGGAACTGGGGAAACCGAAACCCGGTCCCTGGGAATTCGCTGTGTGACGTCAGGCGCGGCCCCATCCCCGGCCCCATCCCCTGCCCCATCCCCTGCCCCATCCCCTGCCCCATCCCCTGCCCCATCCCCAGCCCCATCCCCTGCCCCAACCCCTGCCCCATCCCCGGCCCCATCCCCTGCCCCATCCCCTGCCCCATCCCCTGCCCCATCCCCGGCCCCATCCCCTGCCCCATCCCCTGCCCCATCCCCTGCCCCATCCCCTGCCCCATCCCCATCCCCATCCCCTGCGGGATCCCTCGCCTGCCCCAACGCCGGATCCCCTGCCCCATCCCCTGCCCCATCCCCTGCCCCATCCCCAGCCCCATCCCCGGCCCCATCCCCTGCCCCATCCCCGGCCCCCCTGCCCCATCCCCTGCCCCATCCCCAGCCCCATCCCCAGCCCCATCCCCGGCCCCATCCCCGGCCCCATCCCCGGCCTCGGCGGCGCAGGGGCAGGGCCGTGGCGCTGGGACCCCGCGATGGGAACGAAACCCCCTTGTGGGGAGGGGGGGATGAACAAAAGCTGTGGCTGCTCCCCCCACTGGGCTGGGCCCCAGCGGCTGGGGGGAGGCTCCTGCGGGGCGGGGCGGGGGGCGGGGGCCCCGTTTGCTGCCTTAGGAAGGAGCTCTTTGTTCTCGCTCCCCGCAGCACCGAGCTCGGCCCCGCTCTCGCTCCAGCCATGGGTGAGCTGCGCGCGGGGGCAGCGCAGGGGGGCTCAGGGGTGGGCGAGTGGGGTCTCGTGGGGCCGGGGGGGGACAGGGATGCTCCGGTGGGCAGGGTTGCGGGGTCCCAGGGGTGCGGGAGCCCCTGGTATTGCTGCCAGCCCGGCGGATTGACCGCCCTCAATATCTCTGTTCCAGACCTTGTTGGCCCTGCCGTCGGGGCGGCCGTGGGGATGGGTAAGGCACCGGAGGCGCGGGGATGGGCGCTGCTGCGTGGAAATGCGTCACTTCCCTGCTGCTCTGCACACACAGACCCCTCTTGGGGGGGGGGGGGGGGTGCTGCCCCTTCCCCTTGGCCTGTCCCAGGGAGCCCGTGGATGCCCCAGGAAGGGAGGTTTGGCCACGGGACCCTGCACCGCTTTGGGCTGCCCCGGCGGAGCGGGAGCTCTGCCTCCAGCACCCCTCGCTTCAGGGCTGGGGGACACAGGAGTGAATCGGGGCTGGGGACAAGCGGGTGCCTGTGGGAGGTCATCACTGCTGCTCTCCCACGCAGGGCTCTCCGTGGCTGTGTCCGTGGCCCTGTGGGCTCTGGGCTTCACCCCAGCCGGAATCGCAGCCAGATCCCTGGCCGCCAGGCTGATGTCTGTCACTGCCATAGCCAGCGGCGGCGGTGTGTCTGCCAGGAGCCTGGTGGCCGTATTGCAGTCGCTTGGTGAGTGCTCCTGGTGCGGTGCTGGAGGGCAGCCAGGGCTGGTTTGGCTTCCCCGGGTGGTACCAGCTGCGTGGGGAGGGCTTGGGGCTGCCACAGGAGTGGGGGGACCTGGGGTCCCATCAGCTCGGGGTGCCCGTCGCTGCCCCACTGGTTGTGCTGGCCATGGGGACGCTGGATGGGGAGGTCTGGGGGCCTCCTCCAAGCGATGGGGCACAGTGGAGACCCCACGCCGTGGCTTGGGGGGGGCTCAGGCTGACTTCTCCTCCTCTTTCTCAGGGGCAGGAGGACTCCCCATGTCCGTGAAGACTGCGCTGTCAGCCCTGGGAGCTGTCATCGGGGCTATCGCATTCTGAGCCCCCGCATGCCCACCGGGACCCTGACGATGCCTGCCGGGAGCCGCCCCCACCCGTCCCCACGCTGCGACCCCCTGCATCTCTCCCGTTCCGCTGTACCGGCTGGGTCTGACCCCCGAATAAAGGCCCCCAGCGCACAGCTCCGCCGCCTCCACCTGGGCGTGACTCTGAGCGGGGACGGCCCCGGGGCGGGACGGGAAGGACCCGGCTCCAGCCCCGGCCCCATTTTGGGACTGGCGGGCAGGGAGGCATCATGGCGGGAGGTACGGCTGAGGGACACCCCGCGGTGCTTCCCTTCTCCCTTCTCCCTTCTCCCATCTCCCTTCTCGCTTCTCCCATCTCCCTTCTCGCATCTCCCATCTCCCTTCTCGCGTCTCCCATCTCCCCCTTCCCAGTCCTGCCACTGGCCTCACCGCTGGTATCAGCCCGTTCTGAGGGCAGCTGAAGGGGGGAAGAGGCGGGCTGGGGGCAGCTGCAGCTGCCTGCCCTCCCCTGCCCTCCCCATGCCTTCCCCTTTAGCCGCGGTGAGTAAACTGACGGGAGCAGTCATTGGAGCTGCAGCTGGAGCAGGTGAGGGGCAGGCGTCAGAGGACCCACGCTCGGGGTCGCTGCCCAGCCCCATCCCCGGGCTGGCAGCAGGGGATGGGGTCAGGCTGGGGTGGGGGCTGCTGCGAGGGATGGGGCAGCACCGGCCTGTGCCTGGAAACCAGCCTGCACTCGCTGCCGCAGCGCTGCCGGGCCTCGCCTCACCGCCCTTTGCCTCCCTCTGCCCCCCTTTGCTCTCCTCTCTCCTCTCATAGAATCAGCTACGTTGGAAAAGATCTTTCAGCTCATCCAGTCCAACCCAGCACTGCCAAGGCCACCACTAACCCGTGGCACTGAGGGCCTCGTCCACATGGGTTTTGACCACTTCCAGGGGGGGTGACTCCACCACTGCCCTGGGCAGCCTGAGCACGCTCTCCCTCCCCAGTCCCTCTCCTCTGTCCTCCCTGAGGGTTGGGTGTCCCTGCACCTCGTGCCCCTACTCCCCACCCTGACACCTCTGTGCTTTCTGGGGGGCCGGATCCGTGGTGCTGGTGGCAGGAGGAGATGCGCTCACCGAGGCCACGCTAAGCCTGCCGTGTCCTGCCTGCAGGAGTGGTGCTCATTGGCATCCCGGTGGCCGTCGGTGCGCTGGGCTTTACGTCAGCCGGCATCGCCGCCGGCTCCATTGCTGCCAAAATGATGTCAGCAGCTGCCATAGCCAACGGCGGGGGGGTGGCTGCCGGCAGCACCGTGGCCGTGCTGCAGTCCATCGGTGAGTGGGGAGGGCAGGGGACCTGCGCTGGGCTCACGGCAGGGGTACGCGCTCGGGTTGTTGTAGAGCCGCAGCCGACCTTCAGCCCGTCGCCGGTGTGAAATCACCCAGAACCGTGGGGAAGGGATGAGCCCAGGAGGTGGTGGGAAGAGTCGGGACATGCTGGGTAGGGCACCAAGGCTGAGCACTCGGGGCTGTGCTGTAGGCATCTGCTCTTCTGGCAAGAGTAGTTCATCAACGGCGCTGGCCAGAGCCAGAGAGGGGCAGCAGAAAGGGGCTGGTTGCCCTCATGGAGCTGTGTGCGCTCCATAGTCCAGAGGGGTCCTTGGTTATCTCTGCCCTGTGCTGGGTCCCTCAGTGGGCAGCATCAATGCTCTTGGAGCATCACACCTCGTTGTGTGTTTGCAGGAGCTGCAGGTTTGCCTCTTGCTGCCAAAATTGGGCTGACAACTATCCTGGGGCCATCAGGGGCAGCAATTGGTGCCACCTTGTCCAGGGGGAAGGAGAAGCCTCCAGGTGATGAAAACGAAGACAGCCAAAACAGCGATGACGAGGATTCTGATGGCATGGCAGGCACTGGGTAGCCCCCAGAGGCCCCAGAGACTTGCCCACCCTCATACGAGCTGTGGCTAAGCTTGAGCAGTGAAACCAATAAAGGTGATGTGCAGGCAGGGGTGTTGTGGTGGTTGGTGTGTGGTTGGTATCCCGGTACCCATCAAGTGCCTCAGGATGTGCAGGGGTCCAGGCACAGATTCCAGCTGCACTTCCTCCCCCAGACGGCTGTAGGTAGGTGTGTTATAAACTGTTTAATACACACAGTGGGGGTGATGGACGGCAGACTGGGCTGACACGTGCTGTGTCCTGTGCTGTGCCCCACGCGCGCGTGAGCGAGGTTCTCGATGGCAACCAGCTGGTTTCAGTGGCTCTTCTCTGGAGTTAATTACCTGAGACAAGCACCAGTCAGGAGGTGGCCACAGCATTGCCCCACTGCTTCTGCCCTTCACACACCATCGTCCTTCATTGTACTTCCAATTTTGCCTTATTTTTTTTTCCCTAAAAACCACACCCCCCCCTCAAATCTCTGCTTTTAAGCTCGGATTCCATCATGATGCAGGAAATGAGGATGTACTCTTTTATTAAGGTTAAAGGTTTTTAATCACTTTTCCAGAATACAGATACGATTCAAACAAAAACTATTTTTGGGGTCTCCATAATTCACTTATTAATACCATACATTGAACTCTATAAACTCTCATATAAGAAAAAGTCTTTTTCTTTTTTTTAATATAGGTTATGATGCACTGGTGACCTATTTAAATCTTTTGAAGTAACACTTTGCAGTTATATAGCACCTTTCATCACGGGGCTGCAAAGCATCCGACAGAATTTAGCCTCATAATGCCCAAACGAGGTAGGAAAGTCTGGCCAATTTACAGAGGGGTACAACCGAGGTACAGACTGGCAAGGGACGGAACATGAGGCTTCACTGGTACAACGGGAGTGAAGTGCCCGCTGGCCCCTGGGCTGTAGGATGAGTTGGTGGCTTAACTGGGGAGAAAGAAGTCATCACCCACACCCTCCTCTCAAAGGCAGCAGCCGGGCTCCCAGCAGGTCAAGGCAGCCTCTCCAAAGGTCTGGCTTTTTGTGTTTCAGGTGTAGAAGAGTCAACAGAGAGTCCAAGGCTCATAGGGCTAAGTCCCCTAGGTGTGCTGCTTGTTGGCGTGCCTGATAGCTGGCTATGAACCACAGAATTAACCTTGCTGTGGCTAAAGTGGTTGTTGCAGCCTCCCCATCCCTAAGTCTGAACAGCAGGAAGCTGGGCTGGATTTGTGTTAATGTGCACTCAGGATGCATTCTGAGATCTGGTGTTTGATGCTTTGTTTAGCTGGACTGTTTAACTGAGACAAACTCCCTTCTCCCTGTAAGCAGGCGATAATCTCAGCTATTTCAGGGTTTATTTCTTTAACAAAAAACATACCTCTGCTGAAAAACCATCAGCTTAGTGAATGTGATGTCCAATGGACATGAAGTTCTGCAGCTAGAGGAGTCCAAGATACCCAAGTTCCTTTGAGCCTTTCTGACTTTACAAACCATCCCAAACTCTACAACTCTCCCTTGGCCAGAGCTAGCACTCAGCTCTGTTAGGAATGTTCAAAACAGATGACATGTGGAAGCAAAAAGGGGAGAACCCGTTGTGCTGATGGAAGCAAAACTCCAACCTAGACAGTGAGCACGGTGCTGGTGGGTTGAGAAGAGCATTGTATGGATTTTAAAGACGAGCATTTGTTCTGCTTGCTTGTTTTTAAGGCAACAGTGAAACTTGCTCAAGGGACTGAGAAGAGTTACTGAGACTGTTACCAAAACCTGAAGACTTTATTGCACATTCAGAGTCCCTTCTGTGCCCCTGGCACTAAACCAGCACCGGTGGAGTCTCGCCGCTGCGGGAGCACACCCTGGGGAAACACGAAATGAGCCTTTGCTGCTGTTTCATTTCAAGTCTCTGAGGAGGTGACTGCCAGAGAAATCCAGGGGTTTCTTTTAGACAGTGGTTGGCAGAGTAATTTGTAAGGTAATTCAATCTGCACTTAATTCTGTGGTGTTCAGCATGCGCCGTTTCCTCTTCTAGTCAACCGAAGGCAGGAGAGAGCAGCAGGTTTGCAGCGAGCACCTCTCGCAGGGAGAACTGCCAGGTCATAGAACCATAGAATAGAATCATAGTAGTTAGGGATGGAAAGGAAACAGCCACATTCCAGAAGCACTTTAAACAAAGATCTCTGCAAAAATCCAAAGAGCCAGCACTGAGAACACGCGTGGTGAGGAGTAACGTGGCATACCCGCTGCCAGGCTCCCAAACCGGGCTGCAGAGCTGTGCCATGAAGGGGTTAAACATGTGTCTTGCAGTGGGACAGCACAGAGGTAGAAACCCTGTTAGCAGGAAGCATCCTCTTCAATTCTTCTTTCTTGTTTCTCTGTCCACCCTGAGATTACAGCCTGATTTGCTCCTTAAAAGAGTATTTCAAATAATAAATGCTGTTGCATGGTCAGGAAATGATTGGGATCTATTGATTATGAACAACTTAAGTGCTCAGAACTTTGATCCTATGTGCAAAAATCTATTAATAATGTTAATCCTTCAAGGTAATCCGGCCTGTAAATCAGTGTGAACTCCAGCCAGGCTGACCAGCAATTCCTCAAGAGGCAAAAATAGCCCAAGCACACCCTGGGCAACAAACACCGTGGCCAAAGGGCCTCCGAGCAGAAGGTATCTGACCAGGGAAATGAAACTGAAACTATTCCTTCTGCTAATCGTATCACTGAACTGAACTGAACCCCTTCTCAGCTCAGAGCCATGACATAAAAGCAGTTAGCACAATGCTTTGCTTTCAACCAGTCAAGCTTAAAAGTTATTTATCTTTTCTTGCTGAGAGAGCATGAAAGGCAAATGTCTTTCATTCCAAGTACCTGGAAAAAATTGATGTACGTGAAAGTGCTCATAGAGAAGAAAGAGTGAGGGACTTCAGAGGAAGAAAATGAGTAAGTTTCTCATAAGATACAAATATGCTACTTCATGGGAATATTTCTGTTAATGTCTAGTAAGTGAAAACTCAGATGTGGTATTGCTTTTTAGGCAATCTCAACACAACCAACGCCTGCCCCCCCCCCCCCCCCCAACAGCTTATCCTAACTGCTCCCTTGCTTATTCCCTGGAAGGGAGGAATGTCAGGGAAGGAGGGAGTGAGAAATCAGCCAAAGGGATGCCCAAGAAGTACGGAATTCCCAGATCCCTTCCCTCTCCTACTGCCAAGGTTCGTGTGCAACAAACACAGCTCAGACTTCTTCAGTGCCCTACAGACATGCCAACTAATCCTTCCACAATGATTTGGTTTTCCCTGAAACGTTCTATCAGCCATTCCAATCCAAAACACTGTGCCTGCTATTTCGCTATTTAACTCTGGGGAGGGACAGGTTAGTGTTCATGGAACAAGACACGAGCCTGCAGGAGCATCCCTGAGCTCCAAGAGCTTGGGTAGTTCACTGGCAGGGTATGTATTATGGACTGCTAGGCCAGGACGTGGAGAAAGCAGCATCTTTGATCAGAAATGACAGACACAGATGGGCTTTGATCAGACAGAATCAGGGGCAGGTTTACTTTTCACATAGTTTTCTGTATTAAAAAATACATCAGTGAAATCTGTTACAGGCAGGGACAGGACTACCGAGTACACGACGTCAATAGACTACTTTCTGATTTTATTTTTTGTTAAATTACTTCTGTTACTGCTAAAAAAATAATTAAAAAACCAAACAAAACCAAACAAAAAAAAAAAAAGGAAACAGAATTCAAGGCTGTTGATTTTCATCTCTTGAAATTTTAGTGACAAGATCAAATATCAGACCCCTGTTACAGAAGATGACCGGAGCTACATCAAAACCATACAATTCTCTTCTTTAAAAATAGTTTGGGTTTCCAGTGAATTTGTGACCACTGGTCACCAGAAACACACATCTATAGCTTGAGAAAAGGGGAGCTACAGACAGTATCTGATAATGTCCTGTCCTTCAAACACAACGTGGGAGCTTTTCTCTTCCAAAAGACGCAGTAACAGCCAAGCCTTAAAAAAATCTCTTTTGATTTCCAACACTATGACTAAATCTCTTTGGGTGGGGTGGGAAAAAAACACACATGGTAATTTTCTACCACAGTTCAGTTGTCAAAAGTAATACTGCATCCTTTGCACAACACTGCACGCGTTGCAAAGGCGGAAAGAGTGAGCGTATCTTCCATTTGAAATGACAAGGCCCTCCAGATTTGCCTTATAAAATAACCAAAACCATTGGAGTAGGGAGAGAGGAGAAAGGAAAGCTGCCTTAAGGGAAAAACAATTTCCGCGCACCACAGTATTTGCTAGATTATATCAACAGACTGCAGAGCTACTGGGCTAGGGAAGGGATTTCTGCACATACCCCAGGACAGTCACTCTCCTGTACATACCCCAGAAATGTTCATCCCGTAACATGATCCCTCTGAAGTTGGACCTACAGCACCTCTTCCGCATCGAAGACCAAACAGAGCTAAGAGTTGGAATTGGCCTGGACCGAGAGCTAGATTCTGGCATCGTGTGACCCATTTAACAGCAGCCAGACAGTTGTCCCTTTAGACAGCCAGTGGCTTCTGCCTTCCTACCGCTTGATCCCAGTTTCCAAAGGAAAACAACTATAAAAGCATGTGTAGGTGTATTTATAATGGGAGGTGTCTGCCTGAGCACCACCACTTCCTCTCCTGGCCTCGTGAAGAGCTCTAGGAGCTCCACGCGTTCTTTGGCAGCAAGGACTGCCAGCCACCAGGCTGAGAAGTCACGTGAGCCACAGTCTAGCTCTCCATGCCCAACATTGTTATGGTAGGTTTCACACAACCCTTTTCCTTTAAAATATCTCACAACTGTTTTAAATCCTGAACAGATAAAGGATTTATGCACCACTCAAAATAGGTTAGTTCATCTGGAATTTGTTCAGAGGATTTAGCGGTGCCACAGGATGTTGGGTTTTGCAGCTTACACAGCTTGCTTCCTTCCAGTTCCAGTTTGTACATCCACTGTGATTCAAAATATGCCTGTAGGTGACATTATCTTGGCTTTTTTTGATACACATTTTCCAAAGGCTGGACGTATTCACAGTTTGGTGCTTCTGGTGTGTAGTCAAAGGAAAATACCCCACCTCAGTTAGTCTGATAACTCAATATCAGAGTCCTCTGATTTGACTTTGGCAAGTTCTTCGTGTACCTCCCTCACCATAAGAATACGTGTTAACATGATGTCCAAGGTTCCTGGGTCTATTGGCAATGTGGAATACCACATGGGGCTATTGGGTACACAGGAGCGCTCAGGTTGAAGGTAAAATACATCGCTTCTCTGCTTCACACTTTCAGAACTGTCAACATAAAGAAAGCAGGAGCACGTTATCGAAAGGCAGCATCAACAGTCCTGCTCACAAAAACGTGCAGGGGAGACAGCAAAGAAAATGAAAGTTACACTGAGATGATGACACTAATCTGAACAGCCTAATTAAAATCTCCTTGTTAGTGACTTGGCTTCCCCCTTCTATGCAGGGAACAGTTAAGTGTTTCCAGGTCACTTAGCATTAGAAACAAAGAAAATTATAGAGACTCCTTGACAGATGTGGTTCTTCAATGACAGTATCATACAATTAATGGTACTAGCATCTTGATATGATTGATAGATGCATTTGACAGTCAATCTCTGAACAAAAGGGGTTCTAGTTTTCCAGAACTGCTGTGCAATTCCACACAGGGAATTTTCAAGAGCTAGTAAAACTAAATCCTAGCTGGCCTGCTCATGGTGAGGAATGGTAAGCCCATCTGCTTGAAAGACTGGCTCTGAGGCAGCTTTCAGGCTCTGGTAGGAAGACACAAAACCCTCTAGAACAAGGATCCCTCCTGCCTGGTTTTGGAATATTCATGTTAAAACAGCAAAGTGAATTTTTACTGCTGCTTGCACCACTGCAGGGGCTCAGCTGTAATATATGAGGAGCATGATAATGCCCAAGGACAGCCCAAGGACAGCTAAGAGTTTCTAATGATATGCAAGTGAAGCCAAGGGAGATAAGAAGAGGGAGACAAAGAGTCGGGACAGCTGCTATGCACATCTTTCCTAAGTAATGGAACTATCTGTAGTAAGCTCAGTAGGTGCATTTTTGATGGTGATTTATTTAAATTTTAGTTGACACTAATGAGATGCTGTTTCATTTTTCATGTGTATTTTCTTTGAAAAGAGAAGAACATCATATTCCACCTGCTCAATGATCTATTGGAAGTTTATACAGAAGGAGGCGACTCCTATCTATGTCCTTGCTATACAGTCTTCTTTCTAACTTCTAAATACAAGTTAATCTCACATTTCAGCAGGTAAAAGCTATCAATCAGCAGTTTTACCTAATTCACACTTTTCCTACCCTCTTTCACATGATGGCAGGATATTAGTTAGAATCATCTCAAAAGAAGGATCCTGTATGGGAATTAAAGGATGTAAGAATGCCACGGTCACTGTAGTAATGCCCTCCATTTACATTTATACCCAGTGGATGGGTAAAGAGGCATTTAAAGAACACATCCCTCTCTAACTCTACTCTTGACTCAATACCAGTAACAAATACTCCTGAGTCTAACAGCAGTGCTGATGCTGGAAGTGCTATCACCATGATTCCATTCACACTGAGAGACCAGGAACTGCAGAGAGGAACCCACAGCACAGGCACAAAAGTTCTGAGTGGGACCTTTGCCCAAATGCCTGTTCTAATCTATACACAGATCAAAAATCAGGTTGTGTCACTTACCATTTTGATAAGTAAAATTCATAAAGTCGGACTGGACATCGCAGGGGATTATCCGAATTTTCAGCCATTTCCACTGCTGCTGGAATCTCCTCATCTTCACTGCGTTTCCTTTTGCCTACAGATAATTTATCTGGATACACAAAAAGGGCATCACAGAAGTTCAGTGAAAAACAGCACCTTAAAAAAAAAAAGGAACAGACAATGCAAATATAATTGCCAAAACAGAGGCACCCACCTGATTCTACCTCTTGTTTTTGAAAGGGTGGGAAAAAACGTAAATATGTCATCTTAGTATTATACTTCAGAGTTCGGGTGCGCCTCATAACATGGGCAAAGGACAGTTTCAGGTGCTCACTGACATTCTTTAACTGGAAGTATTTGGTGTTGAAGAACAGAAGCGTGTTCAATAAGACAATAGGGGAATATGCACCCAGCTGTTTACATTCCCACAAGTGTTCCTCTTCAATTCTTGAGAACATATAACCTAGAAACAGTGGGCAAAGAAAAAAGAAGAGTGTTATTTATGCAGTTTTAGGCTGTCCCTACATTCAGTTATAAATGAACAGCTTTTACAGGCTGTGTCTAATCTAGAAGATTTTCAGGCTTTTTCCCAAAGCAATGGAAACATCATATATGAGCAGGGTGGGAAGGCAGAAATGAGTACAATTGAGGAGGCAGATTTTGCCAGAGATGCATGTAAGTCCTCTTTCAGCTAATCTTCTACCTTAATGAACTGCAAATTCAGAGCTATCATAAACAATTGTTAATACCAATAAACCCAAGAACACTGCATGCACAAACATAAGAGGGAGCATGGAGAACCGCATGAACTTCCAATACCTGAAGAATGGAGATAAGGCTATAAAGGAAGATTGCAGACACCAGCAGAATCTCACTAAGTTCTGCTTTCACTGTATTAAATCACAGTCAGCCAACTGCAAAAATGTATAATTCCTAAGATGTGGAGCATGACTTTAAATTGTACCATCTTTATATACAAATAGACCATTGTGATTATCGTAAGTCAGTTAGGAAAAGGACATATGGGGGGTTAGAAGACATTTGTACTGAAAAAATCCCAAGTCCCAGCACTGTATGCAGCACTCTGTGAGTAACTGGATTATTTCTGTACTAAAGAAAAAGTTCATTTTCTAAATGGATACACGTATGGAATTGCCAACATCACTCAAGTTTCACTGGTACTCTGAAAAAAGATCTTACATACTAATAGAGCTGGTGTCCAACTTGATAAACTGCATGGACCATAAAACTTGAGGGAAGAGAAGAACTAGCATGTTGACTACCAGAATGGAAAGCTTTTCTTTCAATGGAGTTGAGAGATTGATCAAAGGCAGAGATACAGTTAAGTGTGGTCCATGACTGGTAGAGACAGACATGAAATCCATGATGCTAGTCTACCACAAACAAGTACATGGTGGACGAAGAGGAGACTATGGTGAATGCTGCTTCATGGCACTGAGAAAATATTAGTTTATCATAAGGCTTTGTCATGCAGCTACACAAAACAAAATAATTGTCCTACCATTTGGAAGAATTGTAGGTTCCCAGATTTTCAAAAGTTTTGTAAGTTCAATCATAAACCTGGAATAGGGCTCGGTAAAAATGTTATCTATTCTACCATTCTCAAACAGGTACTACAAGAGAAAAAAAGGAAGACATACAGTTTGCGATTATATATAACATTGCAGAGAAGATACAGGACATCAGAGTCTTTTCCTTTCTTATGTCCCAATGTCTCATGGTCCAAAAACCTTTACTGAAGTCTTCAGTGAGATATCAACTCAAACTTTCTACAGGGACAGGGACCTCCCCAGTATGAAATGAGAGATCTGAGCAAGAATTATTGCTAATATTCCAAGCTCTAGAGCTCTATTCTGAAAAATCATCACCCTCTGTTAAATACTCTTGAAAAAAGTCTGTCTAGAAAACCCAGAAGAGTTACTGAGTATTTATGTGTTGAAAAGAGCTTCACATGCTACCACCTCCTGACAACAGACACAGGCAGAGCGCTAGGCTGCTGAAACAGCTCAACTTACAGCATCAAGACAAAGCCCCTTAAACTCTTGTCAGGCAGCATTTAAAAGAAGTTTTCTACAAGTCAGGAGTTTGTATCAATAAATACATCAAAACTGGAACACAAAAACACTGCTGATCCTCCCAGACCTTATTAATGCCTAGTCAAACGATAGGTTTTACAGCAGAAGTAGCTTTTGAGTTCTCATTTCCAAATAAGTGTTCAAGGAAAGGAACAGGCAGACTATTTTAAAAACAAAGCCACTAACAGAAAACTACTGAATACTGAGTTTTTAACAGAAGTTAATATTATACTAGGTTTGTCCTGCAACTGTTTCAAGGCAGGCAGTAAGGACTTAGCAGATGACCTTCAGCATTCATTAATTTCAGTGCACTTATTCCCATTGTACTTTTTCTTTATTTTGTCAACACAGCAGGTACCTGTCTGGCCACTGAAGGAGCTCAGTCTTTGCTGAGTAACCTCTTCCTTGCATGTTAGAGAGCAACTCTTTGAGATCTAACATTCCATCATAAAGCAAGTATTTCTGAGGAGCAAATCTTTCCTATACATGAAAAACGATCAAAAAGATACCAAGTCTAAAGATTTGTGCCTAGGTAGAAACACCTTGCCCTCCATGCCACATTCCTCCCAAGTATAGAAGAAGCCTGTTCATTTTGAACATAAAAAGGTCCAGAAAAATTAGTCCAACGTGGGATTAAGACAAGAATAAAGCACAAAAACGATACATTCTTGCCTCCTCTACAAAAAACAAGCAGCTACATGGGACTATGAATATAAAGCATAAATAACCAGGGCAAGTTCTGCATGTTCCCAGCAATACCCTAATTGAGTTACCTGCTGAATTCCAAGGCACAAGTATAAGATGCTGTCAGGATCATATTTTTCTCCATTTGGTCTCCGCACCTCTTGAATAAACTGGCACAAGCCAAAACTCAGCTCAGCAAAAGTGCATGAGAGAATGTCCTCCTTGAGCTTCACAGGGCGAACTGTGGCCAAGAAAGTGGTTAGAAAAATTAACTTAATTCAAAGGTTAAATCTTCACACATTTCTTATTATTTGTTGTAGGAACTATTAAATCTTCTATAGTATAGAACTATTAAATCTCCTATCTTGTACCTTGTATGAGTAAACTTGTGAACTATTTCCTATCTGCGGGTTAACAACTTAATGAGGATTTGGCCAATAAAAGCCAAACCACCTGCATGTGCAACCAGCACAAACACTACAAGTGACTTACAAGGCTGCAGGTATTTAAAGCTGAAGTCAGGCAGTGTGCTAAACCCAAAGACGCAGCGTGGCAATGACTGCATGCACATGAGGCTGGCAGCGGAGGGTTAATAAGTAGGTTTCACCTCCGCAGCTGGACTCAGGGGAATCCTGAGTGAGAGCAAGATCTTGAGTATTTCCTAATAGTTCTGGACATGAGTTAAGTGCAGGGAGATGGAACGAAGAATTTAATGGGACATGCGTGGGATTTGGCAAGAGAAGCAGAGCAACCAGGGAACTGACCAAAGGATCTGCAAGGAAATTACCAGGTTTGGGCACTCCACAACTTACAGAAGTGCCGGCTTGGGACTAACAAGGGAACCTTGCTGGGAGGGGATGTGATGGACAGAGTTTCCTGGAACTGACTGTTACTATTTGCTTCCTTAGCCACAAGAAGAAAACACAGTAACTCATGTGATTACTCTTCTTCTGGGAAACAAAACCCAGCTGTTCTCATGTAATGACAACACAAATTCCATGTAAGAGCAAAAAGCAGATCTCGTTCTAACTCGAATTTTTCCCTCTGGGATCTTTCTTATATAAGCCCTGCCACAGTCAGTCCTTCACATTGCAGAGGTATTTAATATGGTTTGCTCTATTCCCCACCACCCTCAAGAAGCTCCATTATATTCCTCACTGAAATTCTCTGCTAGACTCTGAAAAATGTGCCCACAAAACTCACAGGGCAAACACGTAAGACAGATCTGAGACTGGGGAATAGAGGACTTGGACACTGCCAAGCCCCAGGACTGCTGGCTTGTGTAAGGAAAAAAGTAATTCGTAAGCAGAAAGAAAAAACAAAGTGACATTTATATTGCCATTATCATCTATCACCCTCCTGAGACGCAAGAACAAGTTGTGCCTTTTAAAGTTAGTTTCAGCCAGGTTGCAGCACAGACTAGGTGGACTTTGGAAAGTTTCTTTCCAGTTGTAAAGCCCAGAAACAAGCTGTTTTTCATGTTGCAGCACACAATTTTCTTACAGCAAACTGTTCTGCTGACAAACAAATACTTTGTGCATGTGTTAGCTACAGAGGAAAAGATGGAGCCAAGTTGGTGTTGTCAACTTAGAACTATGGCCTGGTAATAACTGACTAGAGCTCTGCAGCTGCCTAGAGCAGCCCTTCTACAACTGAAGAATTACTACATTCAAATGAACATGAAGTGGAGGTTAAAAGAGTAACATTTCTAATACTGAAAAGGAATCTGGTATTTTAGAGCCTGTTACAATAGATAACAGATCAATTAAGAATGTAATAGCCATGTTTTTTAAATGCATGAGAAGACATAAGACAGTATTCCATAAAATCTTTCCTCCACCCATGGATACTTTAAAGCTCAGTAATACCTAACCCCAACTGCTATTTGAGCAACGTTCCATGCCAAGTGCTCTTCAGCTAAGTATTTGTTTCCATGGAGAGAGAATTTACCTGAAAACTTCAGGTCCCCTTGTTCCTCCTGTGCATTTTTCCATTGGACCCAGTTTTTCCAGGCATTTACCCCATACATATACTTTAAGGTCATCCCAGAAACCGAGCATCCTGCATAGGAGCCCTGCATCAGATTCCGGGGCTCTACAGAAACAACAGACTTCTTCCGACCCTACAGGCAAAGGCCAGAACAAATCAACATTTAGTAAGCACTTTGTCTATGGATGCTTAACTTGATCTCATATCAAAAGGCTGTTATACTGACAGGATAACAAAATCCTACTCTCATGACAGAATCTGAACTGATATGTGTGCATTTTTACTATGTGGACAAATATTACCCACGTTTGACAGAGAAGGTGCAATAAAATATAATTCTCACTGTGATAAATATGCACAGAAATCTGTTCTGCTCTAGCTACACAAGCAAAAATTGAGTCTTTCCTGTAGGTTATGACTGCACTTAAAAGACATCACTTTTGGAATTTTTTGAAAGATATAAAAAATGTTCTGCACTAAAAAGAGCACTTATTCTACCTAGCTGTGGGGAGGGAGAAAATCTTATATAGCAGAACAAGAAAAAATATACAGCATAGTTAAATCAAATTCTCATTTTCACCCTGGAGCAGTATTTATTTACTTTTGAGAATAGGCATACACATGATGATATTACTTCAAATGGAAGGAACCTGTGTTCCAGAAGTACTTTCTTACCCGTCTTTTTGGCTGTGGGAAGCCATCTCTGTGTCTCCGTCTTGCTCGTGAACGTGAATGCAAACCCAGTCCTTTACTGAGAGGGTCAAATGAGTCTGAAGTCAAATCAACACCATTAAGAGTTTAATTGTACGATTTAACAGCCCAGGTAGAAGTATCATGTAAATACTATGGAGTACTTTACAGCTGACAATCACACCTGTATGTTCAAATAGTGATTTACCTCTGAACAGCTACACAACCCATGTACCTTCAGTATATAGTAAATTCACAGAAAAGGGAAAAGGCCTCCTCAGCAGGTGTACTCGTTCAGGCAAACATTCTTATGCAGCTCTCAGATTACATTTAACCTGCCAGAGGGGAGACTGAGATGAGCTCTGAGGCAGAAGCTCTTCCCTGGGAGGGTGCTGAGGCGCTGGCACAGGGTGCCCAGAGAAGCTGTGGCTGCCCCATCCCTGGCGGTGTTCAAGGTCAGGTTGGACACAGGGGCTTGGAGCAAGCTGCTCTAGTGGAAGGGGTCCCTGCCCATGGCAGAGGCTGGAACTGGGTGAGCTTTAAGGTCCCTTCCAACCAAACCATTCTACGATTATATCTAGGGACACAGAAGGGATAAATTCAAAGAAGTCAAGCAAGGCTACCTGCTACTCCTGTCAGAGGTTCTGTAGAACACTATCTTTAAAGACAACAGTAGTATTTTAAATCCAGTAATTTTTAGCAGGGCTGATATATTACTGCAGCTTTAAATATCCAGTTTTACTACATGAAAACTCAAATCCTTCACAAGCAGGCTGCTGGTACAATGCTTACTCAGAAAATCTGTGTACTTTTATACAACAATGCATTTTTATTCACATTATACTGACCTGATGGAAAATCAGCCTCCAGGTCCTGTTCCACATCACCTTTGGAGAACTGCTTCAGTTCTGGATCTGGTTCTGGCAGGGCATTTGATCGTAAGGCATAGTGATTCAACTCATCCTCCCAGCTGTGTGGAGTGGACACCGCTTCTGATTCTAGATCTCCACTGTAAGTGCTACCTTGGTCTGTAATGACAACAATCAGATATTTCATGGGTAAGGGCAGACAAAAAGAGGAGTTTGTAAGAAAAGAGACTGCAGGATCAAAATCCATTTACAAAAAAAATCCTACTGACCTTTCTCAAATATCTTGGGGTCGAGGAAGAGCTCATGCTCAGACGTCTGAGATCCTTTGGAAAAAGAAGAAAACCTGTATCTACAAATGACTGACAGCTTACACAACTAATACAAAATACTTTGAACACCAAAAATCTATGTATTAGGTCATAACACTAACACACGTGATGTGTCCCCTTCTCCACTACAGTTCTCTTAACAGCTTTCTACCTTGGTCATGCTGTTATGGGAGAAACAGGAATGCAGAACTAACCTATACTTGCTTTTCCAAACATTTCTATCCCTCCATGTTTGTTATTTGAGCCATTTTAGACAAGATATTTCGTTTATTTTTCAGCTTGTTCCACATTTATTAAATGGGATAACCACTGTTCAACACAGTCTAACCTGCAACACCCTCCAAGAATCAACCATAAGAAGCCTGATACGAAAATATTCTCTTAATGCAGATGCTTTGTCTTCTTGATTTTGACTCCTCCTAATGCACGATGGTAATACCTCTAGCAACCTGTTACTGTCAACAGAAGTATCACTACTGAATGTTGGCTGATAAACCTTTGTGAAATTACAAAAGCTTCAGGAAGGTGCAACTATAGCCAGCACCTTTTAAAAACATCACATACCACCATGAGAGTGTGTTTTTTCTTTCTCCTCATCTTCTGCAATCATTTCTGCCATCTGAAGGAGGTCAGCTTCAAATGGGTTTGTGGGAATCTTTTCCTTTATATCCTGAATAGTTTCAATGATCTTATCAGCATTATCCAGGGTAGTTGGGAAGAGCATGGGAACTGGTACCTATGGAACACGTGGAAAACATTAGATTGATAGATTAGACTGATTAGACAGCTTGTTTGGGGGTGAAGGGAAACAGCAAATACACAAGGAAGGTTCGTCTCATTTAATCTTATACATATTTTAAGACTACTGGATTTAACTTTAAAATCATTCCAGACTGGACAACTTGTTTCATTTCTGCAATAACCCTACAAACTGGTAGTTCTGTATAATGATGATCAATCAAATGCGATGTGATAAAGAAAGAAAATGGTTTCAAGGACTTCAAATACCACTTGCATGACTAGCCTCAAAACCCAATGACACTGCTCTGTCCTGTTCAGGAACAAGACTGTAACAACTTCTCTAGTGAACTGAAGTATAACTTACAGGTACTGGCATCCCAAGTGGAACTGGTGTGTACTGAGTGTAGAGGTGAAGGGGCACTGGCACAAACACTGGCACAGGGACAGGTACCACAATGATCTGGGGTTGAACAACTTCTTCTTCTGTTATACCAAAAATAGAACAAAACAAAAATTGCTTAAAGATATGACCACTAGGTACACTCCAGAGTGTGCAGAAGACTCATCACACATGAACCTTCATGGATTTCAATGAATAGGAAATGTCTTGTAACTGCTACTTGGAAAATACCATACAACAAACTGAAAACAGTTTAAGGTTTTAAAATACAGTTTTAAATACTCTCTCTCTGTTACGTAAATCACACATTGCTCTCTCAACTGCAATACAGACTTCTATAAAACAGGTAGATTAGATACATACCTGTCTGGCATTCTTTGTTCTGTGTGTGGGGTTTGCATGAGGTGGCCTTAGTCTGTGTGATTGGCTTGCACAACAATGCTTTGTTTTTGAGAAGCCGAGGTGGTTGTGATGATGGCAGCTTTAGGGCATCTGTCTGAGTACTGGCCTGTTTGGAAAAATACATGAGGACAGAGTCAATATTGGTTTGATGGATATCGTAAGATTTGTATTTGCTCTCTACTATGGGAGATTGAGCAATCTAAAACTCCCCTTGGTGATAAAAATGATCATTTAAAAACCATTGCAAACCCAGCTTGCTAATGATGTATTTCAAGCCCCAGCAGCCTATGCTGGTCCCCTTCCTCCTGCCCTATTCCTCTTGACATCACATCCCATTTCTGGGCACTGAAGGTGGCCACGAGTACAGAAGCCACACATGAATTGCTTGAGAACTACAGGCATCTCAAGAGCTACAGTTTGACAAGCTTTGTCTTAAAACTTCTAACCAGGCTGTCAGGAGACACAGAAAGACTTTTATACTGTACAAGTTCTATCCATTAGTTCAAAAGCACACCTGCAAGCTCAATGCCTTTTAAATTCCAGTCATAACCAGGAAAAGCAGTTACAAAATGTCAGTGTGAAATTCTTGGATACTTTACTTGTTATTGATACAATCTGGGCGAAAGTGAGAAAAAGAGGCTCTCCTAAAACTTACATCTCCTATTATTTTTGCTGTCACAGTAGGGACTGCACCTGTGAAGGAAAAAAAACATACAATAGCCTGTGAACATCGAGGACCATAACCCATACTCTGCCAAGGTCAAGAAAAAGAACTCCCACTAAACCTCATTCCCTGGTGTATGTACATAAACGTAAGTCATTATTTAGGTAAGGAAAGACAAAACTTCAACCGTCTGCAGTGATGTGAAGCACAATGAAGAAGTGGCTCTTGTCCTCAGCTAGAAAAGGTCCTTGAGCAAATATCAATGTTCAAGAGTAGAGATTTAAAAATGCAGGTATGTGCAGCAGTCTTACCCTGTAAAACATTGTTGGAGTTAACTGTAGGCTGGGCAGCAGGGGTGCTTGCAAGGGACACCACATGTGCTATGACAGGAGTTGAGTCCTTTCTCAAAGGAGGGCCTGATGAGGAAGCTGGTGCCATAGAAAGGTTTGCTGGACAGAATGAACATAAGAAAACTAAAATAAGCAGTAATTCATAAAAGAGCATTTCTGAAACAACATCTACCCTCCAGATTTATCTCCAAATGAAAAAGCCTGCTGCATGAGAAGGGAATGCAGGTGCCAAACTGCTGCGTTTCAGTGTAAATAGGAGCTGGCTCCACAAGCAAACTTTAGCTGTGTCCAGTCACTGGAACATTTCAGAAGTTCACCATAGGATGAAAGTGGCTTTCTCTTTCTAATACTATGTGTACTAGAGAAGCACTCAGGAGATAAAAGGACCGGATGCCTCACTGTGCTTGGTACAGAACGTAAGTAGTACAGGAGACAGCTGAGATCCTGACAAATAATGAATGAGGTGAATTTTATGAGCCTCTCACAGGAATTCTTAGGTTCTTTCCATTTGAAAGCACCATTCATTAACACATCACCACACTTCATCCAACAATACTGTTCTGAGGCACTCCATCACCCTGGAAGTCCCCAGGACAGAGAGATGCCTGGAGACCAGTTTTGCACTTGCCTCAGCTGAGGCTGCAGGCCCCCTTCTGCAGAAGCAAGCATCTTGCTCTCCTTAGTAAAGCCAAGTGTACTGACAAGATCAGGAATGTCACATTGTACAGTTATGGCTTGGAAGCATAAAGCTACTTATAAATTCTACTCTTATTGACGGAAAACAGCTCCCACTAATGTAAGCAGCAGATATGCACAAAGCCGAGGAGTTGAATATGGCCTGGTACACACTATAAACTTTCAGTTAATATTCTTTATTGCTTGTTGGGTACCTTACTGTTGCAGTCACCATCACTCAGTGGGAGATTATGCCCCTCTTTAGGATCAGTGCTATTTCTGCCCCTTGTTTCGCTTCCTCTTCCTGTCCTTATGGGCCTTTCTTCCTTTCTTCCCTTTGCATTTCATTCCCTACAGAAACTCATAGTTCCTATTCCTGTGGGTTTCATTCCCACCCTCCTTCCCATTCTATCTGTGAAAATAACGAGCGAGGAAACAGCTATTGCACACATTAATCTTGGCATTGGTACTTCAAGAATCAACACTTACTGACACAGAAGTGGTAACTCCTCATATGCCTACAGGCTACACAGAACCAGCTATTTAAAGTGCAGAGATGGAAATCTGTATTTACAACTATTAAGTCTACTAATTTCACCACTTGATTGTTTTTTTTTGTTGAATGAACATTAACATCCTACCATATCTGGCTATGCGGTGTCAAGTACAGGAGACAAGTAGGTATTGACTATGTCTTCAACAAGTTTCAGTACATTTTACCCATAAACTGTGTTTTATGAAAGTGTCTGAAAAGAAAGTGCTTTCGTTTCTTCTCAACCCCCCAGTAAAAGATACATCTTTAAAAGTTCACTGAATCCAGTTTCCAAATACATTTCCATATCACTATCATGCACACCAAAAGACAATAGTATCCCTAGCCTGTTTTACCTGTGTTGTTTGGGGGTGGAGGGTCAGAAGCAATTTGCTGCTTACAGAACAACAGAATACAAAGCAGATTACAAAAATGCTTGATTTCCCCATGCCATTTCATGGACTCACTGAGTTTACCTTGTCTCTTACAACCATCGCACTTTGCCATCTAGGGAAAAAAGTGAGGGAGAAATTAAACACACTTGTGAAGAGCAACAAAGTGTATAAAAACCCCTTTGCACCCTGCTCAGCAAATACAGCATGAAGAAATCTGTCAGGGTGCATCATTTTTGCAGGGTAACATATAGCAACACAGCATTCAGTATCTATCTTCCCACAACCTGTATGACATTTTCTCTACATAGAAAACTGGTCCTCAAAAGTTTAGAAGGATTTACTCATCTCTCACATACATACAACATACTCCCATGGACACAGAACTCAACTACAGATAGTTCACATAGTTCCTGATGTACAAATGTTCTTTTACTAACATATTTCTTTCCAGAGGTTGCTATGTGAGAATATTGCTTACCTGGTAAAACAAAACTGTGAATTTAGACATGCACTCCTCAGAGCAAAATTCCTCCATTTTCCCCCCAAAGAGATTCTGGACCAGTTTAGGGGAAGCCTGTAAACAGTAACTGCACATTTTACAGTGGTTTCCCCAGCGCTTAGCCAAGTCATGTTTATAGAGCAGTTTACAACCTAAAGGAAGAGAAAATAGCAAAAAAAAAACCAAAAAACATCCTTTAGTATCAAAATGACATTTGCTCAGCAGCTCTAGTTCTTGTGTTTAGTTATGTCTGTAATAATGTTGAAAGATTAAAACATATAGTGTGGACAAAGTTGGGTGTTTCTAAAGGTAAAACATTCCCAGTTTTCTAACCTAAAAAGATTAGGTTTCTCTTATCACCAGTAATTTTAAGACAAAACACTTCTGACTTGATTTGTGTGAGACACAGTGCTGCCCTTCCTTACCTTCACTACAGAACGCTTTGTCTACGCCTGAGAATCGCACCGTCTCCTTGATAATCTTCTCAATTTTGCAGTATTCACACATTGCCATTACACTGCTCTTCTTCTTATATTCATCACAGCAGGTCTTCCCACAGAACTGGAACATTTTACCCTGCACCACAGCCAGAATGTTTTGGGTTTAATGTTTCTATGTTTCACATTCCAAATCATACAGTTTAATTGTTAATAAAAGCTCAGAAGCATAATCATGCCCTTGGAAATCAACAACGGACAGCAAATAAGCCCCCTCATTTAGCTTTATCACAAATACAGCACAATTTTCTGCAGAAAGCCTTCAACAACATGCTCTGTCCTTGCATTAGAAGGATCATCTCTGGGACCAAGAATCAGGAATGTGCTTGCCTAGGTAGGCTATCATAGGGTTTGGGTTTTTCAGAGGTTTTCTTGTTTTTAAGACCAAAGAGCTAGTATCAGTATTAATTTTAATAATCATTAAATGATACCAAGATCAGTTCCAAATTCCTTCATAGCAGGTCACAGTAAGAGACAGAGCAGTACTGACAGGCCATTGCATATACAATTTCTTGGGTTTCTTTTAAGAAATACGAGCTTGAAAAGCCCTGATTTTCATTACCTTGTAGTCAAGCAGTTCTGGTTTGGTTGTAAACAATCTGTTACACTGCTGACACCTGAGTTTTACAACAGGGCGGGCAAAAGTGGCTTGCTGAGACTGAGCAGCCAGCCTCTGTAGACCAGCTGCAGCTGAACTGCTCATGGAGCTGGGGGACACAGTTGAGGTGGTTCCACCTGCAGATACCATCGCCCCTGAGGGAATGCTTACAATGACTTGACCTTGTGACAGAGGTACCACTGAGGAGTTCGTTCCTGCAGGCTTGTTGAACAGATTCTGCAGGAAAGCACATTGAGGAACAGAGCTCATTTTACAATATTAAAGACTTCACCCAACATTCCACGTGTTTCCACCATCAATTCATTAGTCTGTTAATTCAGCTAAGAAGAAATCCTAAATGTCATACCTGAAAAGCTGCTACACAACTGTAGCTGCAAAAATTGCGTATGCTCCCATCAGACATAGCCAAATGATACTGAGGGTGTGATGAGGTTTTACAGCTGTTGCACTGAACTTGAACACCTGAGGGTGAAACAGAGAAGAAAAAGTGATTGATGCAACATCAGGTTGTATTGCAGATACTTTTGTGCTGCGCATACAAGAACAGAATCTGAATGACAAGCCAAGTACATACAGAAGCTCAAGATGAAGTTTCTACACTGCAGCTGCAGTGCCTGTTGCTTGCCAGATCCTTTAATTAATCTCCCAGTATCCCTAGGATGTCAGTAAGCATTTTTCCATTTTACAAGAAAAACAGCTGAGAACATGTTTGCCCAGCTCAGTGCAACATTAGGCAGAGGTAGCTAAGCTGATCACCCTGGAGAACAAGAAGCTGAACAGTCACAGCAGGGGTATGGCATACGTTCACAGGAGTGGATTTGTCTAGCTGGGAAACATACCAGCTGCACTTGCAAGAGAAGAAAATAGATTAAGGCTTACTGTCATGTTTAAACTCTCTAAACACAAAGCTGAAATGGCTGTACCATCACTGTTACGTTTATCTATAGTCAAAAGTCCTTAAGATCCCATCTCAGCACCGCCCTTTAAAAATCAAAGCCACTTCCCACCCTCCTAGAAAAGACTGTCAGCCTTAACTTCCAACACAAATTAGCTTAGGCGTGAACTACGTGAAATTATGCTTCTAAAGAAGTGAAAGGATAAACTTACCTGCAGAAGTAACCATCTTTACTCTATACGCTGACAAGCAGTTAACAGAGCAAAACAGTTCAGTTTTTCCCAAGTTATTTGCACTCTCGATCATCTCGACTGATGATCTCAAAGCCTTACACAGCGTGCAAGGTGTAATTTTGGCTGACTTCTGTGGAAACATGAAAATTGGTCATTCTTTTGGAACTTAAGTGCCTTTATTAACCTGGAAATAAATCACTGACATGAATATAATAATTATCAACTATTACTTTTCCTCTCCACTTAATTCAAATGCTACAATTTAGTAGAGAATATTCAACCAGGGAGCACCTCAAAGGCTGAGAGAAGTCACAGTGGACTGCTGCTGAGTGGGCTCAGTGTGTCTTCTCACACTGGAATACTCTGGTAGTCGGTTCAGTGGTAAGGGAAACAGTGCAACATGTCTGGGCAAAGATTAAGCAGTGAATGGTAAAAGGAGTTATCTTAGACCTAGACAGTAACCAAAATGATCAACTAATAAATCGGGTGCTTCCTGGAACACTCAAAATCTAATCAAAGACATACTTTTAGCGTTCTATCAACATATACCTGCTTGTACGCTGTCACACATGTTGAACTGCAGAACTTCTTTGACTGTCCCTCTATCTGAAGTACGTGACATTGGCCAGAGCCACTGTAGCAGTATCCTCCACAATTCTCACAGCAGTTCATAGTCAAGTTGTTAGCTGAGCGGAACTTGGAGAAGCAGGCATCACTGCAGAGCTTGTGTACAACGTTCTGGTAATTCACTTCGTGTCTAATCTGGAAGAAAAGAAAGAATATATAACAAAGATAAAGAAAATACGTATGCTCACCTCTGAGGTAACCAGTTGTCCTGCTCTAAAGGAAATTAAAATGAAAAAGAAGTTTGCAATTACCACTGCATTCTTCTGGCACATGCTGCACTTGCTTGAAATGCTGTTAGTGTGAATAGTAACAACAGGCTTCCTTTTCAGTTCGTATGTAGAAAGACAAGACTGGCTGCAGAAATCCTTACTGAAGTTTGTATTGTCAAACTGGGCAGTGATTACATCCTTTGGATTTAGAATGTCTCTATGGATAAAAAGAAAAACAAACAGATAAAGAACTAATGTTGGCTTCATGTCAACTTGCTGTCCTTTTCTGCAGACTAAACATTCTCTAGAAGAGGGTGGATTCATTTAATTTAAAGCTTTTCTTTTTGCTGAGCTAATACCTGACCTCATTTTATTTTGCCTATTAGGAAAATGGATAAGAAATACAATTCTCAAGTAGGTATTCTGTGAAACACTTTGCACCTGGACTTAGGAGTGGCCTATAAATACATCAGGCGGTGTCACTAAATCTTTTCAAAAGAAATTGGAGAAAAGGGAACTAGTTTTACAGTCTCTACTAAAAAAAATAAAATTAGAATGCAGGATGGGTGGAATAACCCCCTTTACCAATGAAAATACCAATCATAATGGGGTAGGGACCAAAAAAAGTCACAATTTCTAATCACCAGGGAGTTGAGTCATAGAATCATAGAATCGTTAGGGTTGGAAAGACCCTAAGATCATCTAGTTCCAACCCCCCTGTGTGGCCAGGGACATCTTACACTAAATCACATCACCCAAGGCCTCGTCCAACCTGGTCTTGAACACTGCCAGGGTTGGAGCATTCACAACCTCCCTGGGCAACCCAGTCCAGTGCCTCACCACCACAACAGGAAAGAATTTCCTTCTTACATCCAACCTAAACTTCCCCTGTTCAAGTTTTAACCCGTTACCCCTTGTCCTGTCACTACAGTCTCTAATGAAGAGTCCCTCTCCAGCATCCCTATAGGCCCCCTTCAGATACTGGAAGGCTGCTATGAGGTCTCCACGCAGCCTTCTCCAGGCTGAACAGCCCCAAAACGGGCAACTTTCCATCTCTTATCTCCCATCTACAGTTTTGTTTGTTGCCAGATTTAACAAACTGAACTTTCTCCTTATGTTTCTCTCATTTGAAACAGTCACTGGCAGAGAAGTTTCAAATTACTACTACAACAAATTAAAGCCCCCTCCTACTTTGAGCAGCTTGAGCAGGTTTTCTTGGTAGAAGCTGGTGGGCGAGAAGCTGGAACAGTGTATCCAGTGAGGCACAGTGTGGAGCAGAAGAGCTGGGTAGAGCCTTTCCTCTGGTATGCGGTTTGCCCCTTCTGCAGGATTTTTTTACAGCCAGAACAGGAAACCCGAACAGCTGTGCTTGGAACTGAAGGAAGCATTTTACTCATGCCAGAGGATGCCACAGCAGGCTGGAAACCTGATGACAGCTGTGGAGCTAAAAGGAAAAAAAACACACAGAGAAAACATAGAGTAACTGTTAGAGATGGATTAAAACACAACTCACTTGTGTGCAGGGGGCAAGCACAAAGCTTATGACTTCACGTGGGTTGTCAGGGTCTAAAGGAGAATTAAATAGCAGATGAACTCTCCATAATTACATGCTCTGTGCTCGTTTTCTGTGTAGATTGTTTCAATTATTCTTAAGACTGAGAACACACTTTTAACATCCCTAAAACCCAGTCAATTTTCCTATGCCTCAAATACAACTGTTTTATAATTTGTGAATTTTATTGTTTCTAAAACAAACTAGTTCTTGTTTCCTACTGGGGTCAGACGTAGCAAATGAAGTCCAGAATAACCTGCATGGCTATTTGCAAAGGTGACATATTTTACAGATTTAAATAAAGTTAAGTCTTGGCTATTCCTTACCAAGCGGACTGCCACTGACTGAAAATACGGCACTGATTTTCAGCTCCCCTTCCTGAGATTTTGGCTGTTGGCCGTACTCCTAAAACAAAAGGAAAGGGAGAACAAATACACACATGTAAAAACAGGCTACATGATTTCCATTCTTTCATAATGTTGCATTCACTCTTACGGACAAGAGAGTCCCCTATGCCTCCTCCAAACAGCGGGTTTACAGATGTTGCTGTATGACAGCCACACACAGATCCTGCCCAGAGGCTCACAGCAAGCTACAACCCAGGCTCTGGTGTGGAAACAGAAAAGCACGGCTGCTGGCGCAGTCCCCCTGCCAGCTGTACTCCAAGACACCTTAGAATTCACCCAGACAAAGCTTAAGGGAATCCTCTGCTTTCCATCACAAAACTTCCCATCTAGAAGCGTTCTGCTGTCCCTGCTCCTATCCTGTGAAACAAACTTTGTCTTCCACATTAATAGATGATAATAATGAAATAGAGACTGGGACCTAGATGGTGAGAAGCATGTGGTACTCAATCATGAGTTAAGTACCTCAGAGTAGCCTAAGGTGAAGCTTCTCATCAGACCAAAGCTGGCACCACTACAGCCAGACCATCACAGTCCCTGCTCTGACTGGCTTCAGCGAGAGGGGAATAACCTTACACTTCCTGCAAGATGAGAAAATCCCTGCAGGCAGCCGCTTGTGGAGTAGCTGACATGCTATAAATTACTAGCTTACTCCACAGCAGCTATTCATACTTTGACACCATGCTTCATGCTCTCCATAGAAATGTGAACCATAAAGCAGCTTGTAACACTCTACATGTAAATCTTAATAGGCTGAAAAGCATAATCTCTTGGAACTCCAGAGATGGTAAGATTTAACCTACTTACAGTCATCTGAGAGTAGTGAGGCATGATGTCATGTTATGACTGAGCTCAATTCACAGTTGCTGTCTGGCTGCAAGGTAAGCCAATTCAAAATCACTGAGCAAAGTTAAGCTCTCACTTCTCAGTGGCACCAAGCTGCTCCCTCAGCTTAAGCCATCTCCTAAAATCACACACCAGCATCCATGTAATACATGCTTAAACTTAACGCTTCTCTTATTCCTGTGGGAAAATGGCAAGTTTCTATACTAAGGCTACCAAACGATTTCTCAACAGGTTTCCCAGGAGTACAGGCAACGGTATTCATTCATCATCAGACTGAAACGTTCAAAGCTCAAGTGAGAGAAGCTTTTAAGCTGTGCATGCACATGCTGTGATGATGGGGTTTAAAGCACCATTTCTTTAATAGAACAATTTAAAAACTAGTTCTTTGCAGACAGACAGGATTTTAAGCATTTTAACTGCAGTTTTATCCTTAGTCAGTAAGAGGCAAATCCTGACATCAACTGTGCATGATCAAGCATAGTTTCACAGCAGTGAAACTGTGTTGAAAACCAAGAAGTTCAGCTCCAACTATTGGTCACAGCCAGAAATGCTCTTCTCTTTCAGAATGAACAAAAAAACCAACAAACCCCCACATTCATTCCAATCTAAAGCAAAACAAAATGAACCTTCATCAGTTCTCATACTTCTCCCATATCAGGCAGAGTTGATGATTCCAGGATTTTACTCCAGGAATTAGTATTTTGGACAATACAGTATTTGATAATGTCCATCTAAACCACAACAGATATTTAAATCCTTCAGTCTTCACTTTTACTTATTAATATGATCTTTGATAACCACAGACATCTTGCATTGCATTCCCCACAAATCCACACAACAGATGCCATCCTAGGAGTTCAGAGAATAGAGATTTAACCAACCTATACGTGGTTTGACGTTATATACACTTAAGGAAAAATAAACCCAATCTCATGACACTAAACAAAACAGGAGAGCAGTGAAATCTCAATAGTTTCAAACACTTTGTTTTCATCTTTATTTTATTAAACCAAGAGTATCAGGGGAAAAGGAGAAAACACATTGGGAAGATAGGCCCAGGGAGTAGAGGAGGTTTAGCAGAAGTACAGAGCGATGGTAGAAAAACTAACACCTGCATAAGAACACCATCACTCTCGTGCCGATGCAAGTGGGATGTTCTTGGAAGAGCTGCACACCTTTAATTCCAGGTAAATTTTGGCATGTAACCTAAACATTAGCAGTGAGGAGACAGGAACTGCAACACAGATCATTTCCCTGGTGTCCTGCAGCAAACCAGTGGCAAAGAGACCAGCTAGAGCTCAGCAGTCCTCACTCCAGAACCACTCAATCCATAGGTCAGACTTTCTCCATTTTGCAATTAGTGGACTTGTCCCTATATCACCATAAAAAATGTCAGCCTCAAGTGAAAAAGTCTCCTGAACACATGCTTAAATTGACTTCACTGACCTACACATATTTAAATGCTTTGCTAAGGTAAGACCTGTAAGTGTTAATTTAGAACAAGAAAAGCAATGAACCACTGTGCTTGCAAAGAGAACCTTTAAGAGGGAAGTAGCAGCAATGTGTCATTTCAACTACACATCTCTCTGACTACTCACAAGGTGTTCAGTGAAACATGATCTGCATTTTATTTCCTAGGGAGACCAAGTTGAGATAAAGTGTCTACACTGACACAGATTAAATCATCAAAGTTTTATGGCACTTTGCTTTGTCTCTAACTGAAAAGCAAAACATTTTCAGTGACATGGTAACATGACATCAAAAAGTTGGGAGTCTGGGTTTCATGGTGGCTTAAGAGGGAAAAATCCTTCTACTAAACTAGTTAAATTTCGGTCAACAAACCAAATAAATCGCTGGATTTTCATCCAGCTTATGCGGTCAGTTGTCAGACCAAAATGAGAAATGCAATGGGAAACTTACCTTGGAATTATCAGGTTCATCTTTAATTCTGTCTAACAGTCCCTGCTGTGGGGCCATAGCTTTATCATATTCGTCATCCAAAGGCTCCTCCTTAATTCTAATATTTGGTGCAAAGGAATTCCCCAGCTCTTGTCCAATAGATTCCTTACTAGAAAATAGGTAGCTAGACTCCTGAAACAATAATATGAAAAAGAATTCACCCTCCTGCAACTGCCATTAGGAGTTGGGCTGCTACCAAGGGGAGTTTCTGTTGCAGACCAAGAGAAATGGGTCCTGCCACTGGAAGGTGGGAGAGACACGATGGGCAGCAAGCTGCTGCCCCTACCTCCCTGCAGCACCCTCTGTCATCCCACCCCCAATCCTTTTCACTCCTCTGGACAAAGCAGAAGCCACCCAGCTCTTTAAGTTGGTTGTCAGTAGGGGCATTCAGTTGTTTGGGCAGCGTCTCCTGTTGATAAAGCTGTTCCCTGTCTTATCTGGAAAAAAGGCAGCAGGCCAGATGGATGCATCCAGGTCTAGATTCGGCTCACCAGTCAGTCAGACCATGCTGAACATCACAGTGGCTACCAAAAGAATCCTCAATCCAAAGAGAGGGTCAGCAAACTTTTACAAAATAATATGCACTGCTTAAGTAGGAAAGATGGCTAAGAGTCAGAAGATCAGTTTTCCTGATACTCAAAATTTACACTCAAATACAAAATACGTATTTTGAATTATTCCAGTATATTGCTGCACTTGCAAAAGTGGTTGAAAGATCTATAGCTTACCCTGAAGTTAGTTTCTGGAGTTTGTGGAGCTAACTGCGTCCGTAATGTTTCTTCTACTTGATTATGAACTGAGGAAAACATATACATTAAATATAAATGAATACAGAGTCCAATGCATTTCCTTTAAAGCTATCTAGAGTCTCATGCTGATCCCCAACCCCATAGTCTGGCAGCACCTCAGAAGCGTTAAACTACTTCCTTTTCTCCTCCCTGCAAATAAGATGGTATTCCTTAAGGAGAACTGACATTTTATTATTATTCTATTGGGTCATTATTTTTCTATTCCAGAAAAATGGCTGTGATACTCTGAGGCAAACCGTTCCTTCAGAATTTTCTACACCCCTGTGGGTTCTGAACTCTCCCGGGTTTCAACATCTAAATCACAGAATATCTTTCAGAGCAACAACTTTCATCCTTTTCTTTCCTGTTCTACTCTTTTTTGCCTTTGCTCTCTTTCCCAGGAAACAGTAGCTTTTCCAGCACATACCTTGTAAAAATTCTGGATCCTGGATGCTGCCTATCGAGCATTTACTATTTCTATTTCAATTACTGAGTGCTCTACCTGAGGCTGCACAGCTTTCAGCCACAACCTTGTAACTGCAACTATTTACAATTGTCTGAAGCACATCTTTTGCACAGAAATATTCCTCACTTGATTTCCACCTGAAGGTAAAAGTAATGAGACATCTTTAACTCTTCTTTATTTTAAAAACATCTGTATTGCTTCTCTATCACTTGTGCCACCTGGAAGCACTGATTTTAAGATGCTGTTACTAGACGTACAAAGTTTAAATACCAGAATTGTAAGCTGTGAATCTGAACAAGCAGCCAGGAGGCTCTCACTTGCTGACCAACCCTCTCTCCACACAGTCTTCGGAATACAATTAAATCACACATTCCAGCCTGGTTATTCCTAACTCCTTCATTCACCCTTCTACTGTAACTTTTGGAGCTTGGGAAGTCAAAACCAAGTGTGTGGGCAGAAAGATTACTGGTGACTGTCAGGCTCCCTCAAATGAGAAACAGATCACAGGCATCTCTGCTTCTCTCCATGTTGGCTGGACAAAGTCCAAGACACAAGTATCTGAGGCAGAAGGAGAGCACTCTCCCAGGAAAAGCAGATCTCAAGCTACTCTCTGGCTGACTTCCTGCAGACACTAACACATTTCTAGCAGGCCTTTCTGTGCTGATACTACCAAATGCATGCTGCTTTAAATATGTGCACATTCATGAAGAATCGGTACTTTGCTCCAAAAAAATCTTTCCCAGCTATCAACTTCAACTAAACTTCTTCAACTTTTCCTTTAAGGAGTTCCAAGGTCTGTAAAATACACTGAAGACAAAACAAAAGGAAGCTTGAATTGTCACCCAGCTTGGTTTAGAAAACCACAGCAACAAAGGATATGTTGAGGCTTTGAAACAAGCTGTGGAAGATGAGACCCCCCCTAATGCTGTCAGGCCCTTCTGCAACTCATGGTTTTACTCCAGAGTTCACCATGGTTTAGGGTTCTTTATGAAATGCTTTCCTGAGTACAGCTCTACATATTCTCTTCAACAAGATGGTGTTTTTAATAACTAGCCCTATTGCTGATTTCTGTCTAGTTCTTTCTTCCTCTTTGCCGGGTAGCCAGGTCTACGATGCCAACAGTTACCTGCTTTGTCAAGAAAACTGCTTTTCAATCTAGAATCCGTATCTTTTGGGATTTTTTCCAACCGTTTTTCACGTTCTTGAAACTGTCCTTCTCTATTCTTGTCCTTTGCTGAGAAAGTCTCTTTGCCATTATCTCTTGTTATGCTAAAATCTTTCCGAGTTGATTTAAATACAGGGCTCTGCTCAAATGGTGAAGAGAGATCCTTTTGGATTGCATTCTGAACCTGAATTTCTTTTTCACTGTCCAAGTCATGATCTGTAACTCTCTTGCCCTCTTCCAAATGGTCTTCATCAGAAATCGCTGAAGAAAGAGTGTCTTTTGGAGTGAAATTCTGTTCATCTTCATTGTCACTCCCCACAACAGGTATGCCAGCAAGATCCCCAGAGTTCAGAAAGAAATCATCCTCATCCTCATCATCATCGTCCAGCAGTGAGTTTTCAGATCCTGTTCGATTCTGTATTCCATAAGATATGCTGTCGAGGGCAGGCGTTAGGTTGTTGTCAGTGTCCTCTGACATTTCTGCATCCAGAATTTCACCACCTAGGGAGAAAAAAAAAACAACAGTCAGAAAATTCACCAACTTTACATGTAACAAAGGACAAGGGCAAGCGTCCTTTGCTAATCTGTTTGATGCTGCAATTCCTCAGATACTCTAAACCTTCTCGGGCCAACATTACTGGTAAAACATTGCTGACATAAGGAACAGTTCCGTCCCACTCACCACACAGTGAAGCAGAAGCTGAACTGAGTAAAACTAACGAAAAAAACATTAAATGCACCTCATCTGTAACACTTGTGGGGAAGGCAATGCATGAAGGGAATGAGCAGCAAGGGCGTGGAGAAGGGCAAACAGTCTTTTTCAGCAGCAATGATACTTCTGAGGAACGTTTGGGAAACTGTGGCCTTATATAAATAAATAAAGATACTTACATTTTTCTGCAATATCAAATACCGCATCAGATTTATCTTCAAACTGTAAAAAGGAAAGCACTGTATCATTATCTTGGTCAGCTGCCATGGACTTTGCTAAAAAGTACCCGATGAAAACCAAAACCAACAAGAAGGGTCACAACTCCACCTCCTTCGTTTCTCATCCCAAGCAAAGTTCTATGGATTAAGACTCTCACATCACTGAGAAGTCACATTTACCCTAACAGGTTCACAAGTACATAAAAAAAGGACACAATGACAATTCAGAGTTAGCTTGCTTCCCAGAGAAGGCGGAGGAGAGAAGGGAGGGAAGCACATGTCAAGATTTGCACTTTTATGTGACATACTTGTACCAGGTCAGGATCATAGATTCTTCCCCCTTTGATGCTCTGTGATCCTTCACTTCCTCTGAACATTCTAAATGGCAAAACAGCAGCATATCCAGCTGCCACTGACATGGGCTGCACAGACCTGAAGGTTTCCTCTCCCTACCAGGGAACGTCCCCTTTCCAGGAACAGCAAAATGTAATGGTTAACTTCCTGACAGTAACAAGACAATGGGTGTCAGTGGGAGTGTAACTGAAGGACAACCAGCTGACAACGCTGAATGCGGTGCAAAACATCCATTTACATTAAATATTCTCTGCCAGACATTAAAATTGGTGGCATGCTGCACTGCTGTCTGAAGAACTATGAGCACCCGGCATAATAAAAGTTTCCTTTAGAACGTCCAACTCATTAGCATCCTTCCCTTCTGCCTAAAATATAACAGCAATTCACTGAAGTCATCCCTCCTTTACGTCTCTAACTCAACACTTTCTTTTCTGGTAGATCCTGCTCACACTTCAATTCTTAAGCCATCTTAAGTAAAGTAATGGGATTTGGTAGCAAAGGGATGATCTCTAATTTCATTTAACTCAAGTCATTTAGTTGATAAATCCAATATTCTACAAGACTGTGATGGGAACTATCAGTTTGATAGCAGCCAGCTCCGGGAAAGGATGACAACATATTTTCCCAAGGTCCATCTGACAGCAAAAAGCCCATCAGTCTCTTTCTACTATCGCTTCCAGGTCTACAAGAAGAGTTGACTGCTTCAGCTTAATATGACACACATGAAATAGCAAGAATCTGTCCAGCACTGTGAAGATCAAGACACTTTGATACTTCACCAAAACTTTCCAGCTTCTCTGAACAGACACTTGAGGCTGAAAAAGTGAAATACAGAACCCAAGGGAAAAAAGAAAGTTACACATTTCTACAAGGCTGATGCAAGTCAATTTGTGGTAATTATCTAGAGGGAAAAACTAAGGAAACACCTTCCAGGAAGGCCTGAGTCCTGCTACAACTGTAACGATCCTCGGATGTCTCCAGAGATGCAAGTTTAATGTTGACCTGGAAGTCCACTTGTAGTCAACCAAGTTTACACCAGTGTAAAATGAATCCCCATAAATAGTGGATATACTTAGCGCTAACACCAGGTGCTGAGGACACACACAGTGGTGCTGTACAGGTTTTGTAGAAGAACAGAAAGAGGAACTTGTTGCCATTTGATAATAATATCAGAAAATGAAGCCCTGGGAGGCAAAACCAAGATAGCCTGGGTCCTTTTCTCTACACTGACCTCCCCTGATGCTTTTCTTGCTTCCTGTCAGTAATGCTCTTTCTTCTCCAAAAAAGTCTCACACAATTTGTAGGTCAAGCAAGAGAAGTTTTCAGCTGAGACGAAGCATTTGCTCATCCTTTTCTTGAAGTAGGTTTGTATCAAAGTAGTTCTTTAACTCTTTTGAGATCCAGAGTACCTGTGGAAAAGTATTCCAGGTTCTACTACAGTCCCGGTTACCTTATAGATCCAAGCCCTGGGTATTCCTCCTCCTCTGGAGATAACAGATCTTTTACTAATAGGTGACAAGACCAGAAACGCCGTTATTAGGGAAAGAATACATTTTGCAGTCTGGACCTCTCTGTTTCATTTGAAGTCAGCACAAGGGGCCACCTGCAAGAGCACATTAGAGACTACCAGAAATATTTTGGACAAGTTGGAAAACATTTACAATCTACCTGGAAGGAATCCAAAACACTTCCCAACCACAAGGTCATCCTAAGAAAAAAACCCCACCCTATTTTGTTTCTTTTCTCTTTCTTTTGTGAGGCTACCAGAATAAAGAGATCTTGAATATTTTCTTCCTTTCAGAGGTTTTAGGTGCAGAGGAAGATCTATGTCTGTGGTCAAAAGCTTCCACTAGAAGTATTTATATAACAGGAACTTCAGCATCTGATAATATGAGCAGTCTTATCTAACCACCATCTAGTTTCTGATGGTGAACAGCATCAGAACTCCCACACGGTATAAAACCAAAGAGAGGAAACTAGGGGAAGTGTTTGTATGCTTCTATGTGGATACATACGTATTTGCATACACATAAATATATACATATATATATATCTCCCCCATAAATTACTCATTCCATAGCAGTCTATAACTGGCATAAGCCCTTGATGAGGGCTCATATATTTTTTTCTGAATGAGTGTGGGATAGTCCCTCAATTACATACATTTCTGTTCCCTTCCTGAATCCTATTACAATCTTGTTTAATGCCATCTCAGAAGGAAATTTTGTATAGCAATAGTTACATGAAATCACCTTAATCAGTCACATAAATTGGCTGTCACTGGTCTTGCATTACACAGAAATGTAAACAATAATGCCCACCTTCCTATTTCTACATTATTCTATTTCATTTCTGCAAGGCAATTTCCTCTCTCACCAGTCCTGGTCAGTTGCCATCACTCTCAATTCCCTTTATTTCTTCTGCTCAGATTTTTAAAGATTTGGTCATTAGTGGAATAAAAGTACCCTCGAGGCAAACACAAACCTGATGCATTGGATGGCATTCCCTATGGGTCCTTTTGACAGAATTAAGACAAGGCACTCAAATATCCCAGATTAAGTCCTAAATAACTACAGAGTGGAAAGGCTCAAGAACAGTAAGATTTCTGTTAAAATACTCTAAGCTTTAACTCCTCAACACAGTTCTCAAAAAGCACTTGAAGTTGTACAACAAAACTCCAGGACATCGTATTTTAAAACACCTCCATTCAAGCACTTTGGCTAGTATTTTGCCAGAGAATAGTTTAATAATACTTAGTGCTTTTAGGTAGTGAACATTCCCTAAGAGCTTAAGACAGAACAACTGAAGCTTGATATTAGCAAAATGAAATGGTTTAGAATACATTTTCCTTAGTGACTCTGCCTCACTAGCACTCAGATAGCACTAAATAAAGGAAACAAGAATACAGAAATGGTGACAAAACAGTCAGGTATTCCTGGAACCAATGTGTTTTGCTTTAGTTCACTATTTATATAAAGACAGTATTGCTTTTATATAAAAAATAATAATCCAGTAGGTATGCTGCTATTGTTTAACAACTGTAAATAGGACTCCAGAGGAACAGTGCTACATCCTCAGCACTAAGCTGGCTTTGCTTGGAGCAGGTGACAGAAGCACACTGTTTACACTTGAATCTAATGTGCTAATTGGAAATAACTAAAAACCTGTTCAATACTCGAATGGTGCCACAGCATCCATAAATCAAGCAACTAATGCATTATTTTGGTGCAATATAAAGAGAGAAGGTGCCTATGGCTACAACCTTGTTTTGACTGCAAACCAGAGGATTTCTTTAAATGAACAAAACAGCACCACAACTTTACATACACAGGCACATATCTTTCTAGCAGGCCTTTTGAAGTTTGATCCTAGGTTTTACTGCATCCGTAAGCAAACTGTGGAAAGGAAGCAGATGTTAAGAAAACTGCAATTAAAATTAGTCAGAGATGGTTCTCAGTTTCTGGTCTGTACAATTGCCTTGTCCCTGTACACACAGCACAACCCTCCCCCCACCCCCAAACTCCAGAAATCATTAAACTGATAAGGAAGACACAACTTGGAAGAAAAAAGTAATCAAAATTGTAATCGCTACTCCTGAAGCGGGAGGGCTGAGCTCAGGAAGCACCCCCTGACCTTTTACACATGACACCCCTGGAAGGGATGCCAGCCGCGCTGCACCCCTGCTATGGGAAAGCTCCGCGGTACGAGCACAGTCAAGCAGCGGGTCTCTCCCGGAGCTGCTTCCTACCGAAACACAGCCAGCCCTATCGATTCCTACCTCCGGAGCACCTGGGGAGGGACGAGCAGAGGGTAACAAAGAGCCAGCCTGCTGCAGATAACCTGCTACAGGAAAAGAACGGCTGCGGCAGGAAGAGAACCCGGCGGGGTCAGGCTAGCCATAGAGCTCGGCGTGCGGCGCGGGGCCTGCAGAGCCCCCTAGCAGCCCCGGCTGCGGCCCTGCGCTGCGGGGCACCACGCGTGGCTCTTCACAGGGGAGAACGGGTTCGGAGCCGCCGGCGGGGAGGCTCCGAGAGGGAGCCTGGAGGATTCTGAGTCCTTGAGGCTTCCCTGGGCGGCTGAGCCACGCTCAAGACTTCAAAAGATCATTTTTAATCGAGGCTAAGAGGAATGAAATTGATACCGGGACGGGCAAATCCTAAACACCCATCTCTACACATAAACAAAGGCAGGCATTTTTCAGTTTCTTGTGGCTCCCTATCTTTCTGTTCAAGAAACACATTCACACCTTGCATCTCACTAACTTCACCGTCAATTTGCATCTTCAGTCTTTAAGTCTCAGGAAAGAAGATTCAGACACATGTTGGTGCCCTTCACTTGTGCGGTTTTAGAATACCGACTGATTCACCAGACAGCACAGGGTTCAGCACATCGGTGTATTGCCTGTCTATCCCCAGCTATTCCAGACATCCCTGAGCTGCCCGAATATTCACAGGCTAATTCCAAACAAAGCCCCTGTTGACTTCATGGTTTCAGATCCACCCAACATGCACACACAGGCTGCAGCCTGTTACCAACCTGTACAGGAGCAAGTAGATGAGCCTGTCAACACACAGAAAGTTACAGCGTGCCCTGCTTACTCCGAATGATCAGTGGTTTTAACCTACCTACAAAAAGTAGAGCCCTTCTCCCATCTGCCCACAAAACATGGATTTGAGAAGGAAGCAGCTCCACAAAGAAGGCTTCACCTTGCAATGGGTTTCTGAAAGACATTAGTTTGATGTGCTGATTTGAAGCCTGCTAGACGTGTGGGCTTTGGCAATTAGCAAACACACCCAGACACAAAACACACATCAAGCAAGCAAACAGACCAAGACATCCACAAGAAAGGCTTTCCTTTAAAAACAAAGAACTTCTCTCCTCAAAACCTCACTATGGCTATGCGCTGAACTTTCCTGCTCCTGTTGAAGGCACTACAAACCACCACTGACACTGGGATTTCGGTTACACTAAATCCGTAAGTGAGCTGAAATAAAGGGAATTCCCATTTCTCACAGCATAAGTCAGAAAAACTAAACTGGATGTAAAAATCACCAAAATCAGAGCAGGCTCCATATCATAACAATGGATGTTTCTGCTGTGATACTCAGTGCGTAATTACTCCAAACCAAGTATTTCATTTTAGTTCCATATTTTAGCATCCCACAAGGAAGACAGCACTGCCCAGATTACAAATGTATACTTCTGGCCAAGCTTTCAGAAGTATAGCTCTTTAGAAGATCATGTTCTACAAAGCAAGCAATCCCTTTAATTCCACTGAATTCAGAAGCTGAGCAGCTCTTAAAGAGAGAGACGTCACCACATCTTTTAAGGGAAAACCAGTCCATATAAAACAACTAAGAAGCAGCGAGGGTAAGAATCTGGGGTGCAGGACCGGCACTATAACCTCCCAAAGATCCTTCTACTCAATGTCTCCCCCAAGAGGATAATGAACCATCTCAGTAACCACTTCTTAATAATTACCTTAATAAAAGGGAAACCCCCCAACCTTCTGTCAATTGATCTTTAAAGAAAGTGAAAGGTGTAAGCTGAAGTCTGCTTTTCATTATAATCTGTCCCCAAAAAGGAAGCCTACAAGATGGTTTTCATGCAAACTGGGCAAACTGACAAACATAGCACCTTCTGCTTGTTGATAAACGCAGCGGGGATCATCAGCCCTCCTTCACAGAATGGTTTAGATGTTAATAGCCCACACTGGTGAATCAGCTTATCTACCATTCGGTTCTACAAGTCTTTCCCTTATTGTAAGAGTTTGCTGCCAGCTCTCATCAAACCTACAACTCCAGCCCCATTTGTAGTTTTTGCCCTGGTTGGATTTACTATTTCTTTTCCTGTGAAGAAGTGGTTCTACAACAGGCAGTTCAGTTGGATGTTTCACCTTCTTTGCAGATACTATTACAAGTAACCAAGGCCCTTGAGAATGAACTGCCTGAACACCAGTAAAACCCCACAGAAACGCCACTGGTACTATGTGACTGGTGGCTTCATGCAGCCCCAAGAATTGCCCTGTTCTATGAACAAACAAGACTGCACAAAATGCCTGCAAGTACTTGAACAGCATCAGAGTGAGAGGTCCAACCACTGAGCCACCTCTGCTTCGCTCTTCTGCCTGCAGGTAAGTGACAGAGCTAACGCTTGCCTTGTACTGGAATCCTCACCCCAATGTGTCTTAAAACATATTTAACCAATCTAGTCA